ATTACTAATAAAAAAAAGCTGGCAAAATAATGCGACAGCTTTTATTTTGAAATTCCTATAACCCCGCTTCTGTTCCTTAACTATATTACCATCCTCCTCCCTAGTGACGATCAATCAGTCAATGGTCCATCCCTTTGCGGGCTGTCCGTCTTTGTCCGACAGCATATAAGCTCCATTGCCTTTCGAGGATCCTCAAAACCTTTCTTTTATTCTTTCCAAGTGAAACGGAGGATGGCTGGGTGTGATAACGTAAATCTAATGTCCAGATCATGCAATTTCCTTCTTACCTCTGTGAACTTTCTCCTCTTCTCCACTACGTCTCTAGTCATATCAAGAAAGATGGAAATCTTACAATCGTTCCACTTGATCCCGCCGTCGTCACGAAAACGCTGCCTAGCAGCCATGAGCACCCTCTCTTTTTCCAGATAATTATGAAAACGTACAATAATCTGCCTTGGTGGTTGCCCGTCATTCGGTAATGGGCCAGGGGAGCGGTGCGCCCGCTGCAGCTCCCCGTCAGGCACATCAATGCCCAACGCTTCAGCAATAATAATTCTCACCAGCTCCCTTGGTTTGCCGTTTTCAGTCCGTTCAGTGGTCTACCAGGCGAAGATTTACTCTTCTGTCTTGGTTCTCCATGTCCTGCACAACTCTCCAAAGCTCTTCATGCTGATGTGCTCTCTCTCTGGCTTCCTTATCCAGCCTCTCATTCTCCTTTTCCAAATCCATAATCCGTGCATCCGCTTCCTCCAGCTTTTCTCCAAGGCTAATAACTTCTGTTTTCATTTTAGCTTGTGATGCTTTCACTTGTGAAACGTCTGCCTGTAGATCCTGCAGAATGTTGCTCACTTGAGTCATTTCCCGCATAGCCTTTTCCAAAGTAGACTGCAGCTCCGCCATAGCATTCACTGCCTCCAGGTTCGACAAGATGGCCTTGTGACTCTGCGTAGTGTCCTCGCCGTTGTTAACGCTGGCTAGCTTGTTGCTACTAGCGGCTACCGTACTAGCCGCCTGTTTTGCCGACTTCGTTTTCGGATTCACAGTAGTCATTTTGTCGCTCTTTTCTCCTACACGCTCCAGGATCTTGTCGTCAATGTTAGATTACCTTAAAATCATAGAAAGTAAAGTCTCATTCATGAAAATCCAGGGGAAAGTGGCTGACTCCTCAGGAGGTTTTGCCTTAGGCGGCCATCATAGTCTGCGGTACCACGTGACTCTCCTCATGTAATTTCTTTAACTTCATGCGGGAACTTTCCGAAGCACAACTTCCAGGTTCACACTCCCATGGTCACTATGAATGCTTCGATTGGACTAAATGATCTTTGATCTGTGCGGAAGTCTTGGACCACATTTATTCTGCATTCGGTGTGAACAAGGCTTGAGTTTCACTTGCAGGCTGAAAGTGCAAATAGCCTTCTACCCCTACTTCCTAATTAGCATCTGTAATAGATGGGAATTGCTCAGCAAAAGTCACACAGATCTACTTCGTGCTGTAAATCATCATTCACAGACTCGTTCATCTTAGCTCTTGACCGCAGAAAGCTGATGTAAATATGTGTAGCCATGAGAGAGCAGAGAGCATTTCAGCTAGTGGAAGCTAACCGCTAGCATTAGCAGCTCCATTAGGTGATGTACCTTTTTTAGGTTTGTGTCATTTGTAGACATGAAACATCAACATTGCAGAGCAAACAGGGGCAGTGGAAGAGTTGTGATGCTGTTTGCCAATCAGAGGCGAGATCTTTGCACCTCATGAATATTAATGACTAGACTCCAACTCCTGCATTTTTCTGCCACCTGCTCCCTCAGCGAAGTTCTACTTCTTCAAAATAAGAGCTTCTTTCTAAAGAATAACTCACATTCTGACTAGAGACCACTTCAGATTTACTGAAATACTGAGTGAATGAGAGCTTTAACTTTTTATAGAGACAATATGTCACCGTTTTTCTCTGATGACAATGTGAACATTTTGAAATAAAATCCACTCGGAGGTAAAACATTAAAGGGAGTTAATTTCAAAGACTGAACTTTCGGTTATGCATGCACCATCTCTCCTCACAGCTGCTGGGCATCTGGTCTCAATGATCCGACTGGAATGAATGAAAATCTCGAAGGTCATGAAGGAAAGACACTTCCGACCCCCCCCCCCCCCCCCCCCCCCAAGTGACAAACAGGTGTTCTTTTGAAATGGGATAGGCAGGGAAATAATGCAGCTTTGTTTTAGCTCGACTATGGGAACACATGCCAAGGTGCTGAAGCTCAGATTTTCATTCATGCATGTTTTCATATGAGCATATGTGCTTTGTTGGAATTGGATTTGTTTCTCCCCAGTGAGTCGGCTCATATTTCTCTCCAGTCATCAGTTATTGTAAAATAGATGGATGAATTTCCAGCTGATTTTTGCCATTTTGGCTCTGGCCTCTTCGCTCAAACTGGCGGAGCAGATGCTTCTCACCCAGAGGAACTTTCAAACCTTCTAGTTTATACTGAGATTTAGACAAGAAGGGCATGCTGAGTCACTGATGCACTGACAGTTTTGCAATAAACTATCATCATGCACATGAAATGGAACACTGCTAATGTAGAAATAAAAGTGCATCAGAGAGCAGAGGGTAGATGAGCATGTTCTCCATGTTTATTACACAGCAATAAACACAAAGCGAGCCCATCCATTGACTCAGAGTCAACACAAGCTCACAAATATCTGGACGGACATTAGCAGGAGCTAATGTTTGCTGTTCAGCCAACCAGAGACTATCACCACACTAAGGACAAATAGTCACACCTTTTTGAAATGGATCTTCCCAAAGACAATAACTTTATTGTAAAATTAATCACACTGAATAATAACTGTTTGAAAGAAATTTTCTAGAATAATATTTAATAACCTAGAAAATATCCTTTACCAGCATAAAATAAATGTAAAAGTTTAAACCAACTCTCCATGATTTTCTCCGAATGATCCAGATCGTCTAGAATCATAAACCAGTTTTGATCAGTTTTTCTTCAGGTTTTTAGGTTTTTCATCAATTTATCTATAACTTTGGACACCTTTGTGCTTATTGTTAATCCATTTGTTGTAAATGACTAACATTGTGCAATTTACCAAATTGTGTCTTTGTGTCAACTATATATATATATATATATATATATATATATATATATACACATACATATATATATACACATACATATATATATACACATACATATATATATATATATTTGTGTGTGTGTGTGTGTGCGTGTGTGCGTGTGTGTGTGTGTGTGTGTGTGTGTGTGTGTGTGTGTGTGTGTGTGTATTAGGGCTGGGTGATATGGCCTAAAATCAAGATCAAGATACATTGAGGATTTCACCTCAATAACAATAAATGGCTGAAAACTTCAGGAATGCACAGAAACAAAAAGTAGTCAACTAGAGGGGCTGTCACATGTATTGTGTTGAGTCACATTTTTACGTGACTCAAGGTGGTACAGCTTCTTAAAATGTTGCCAACCTGCACACATCTTTTCATGTTTTTATTATCAAATTTATTGGCATGGGAAAGTCAGAAATTTTTATAATTATGTATATATATATATATATATATATATATATATACCTATATATACATATAAATATATCTATCTATCTATCTATATATATATATATATATATATATATATATATATATATATATGTATATCTATCTATCTATCTATCTATCTATCTATCTATCTATCTATCTATCTATCTATATATATATATATATATATATATATATATATATATATATATATATATATACAACAGTCCAAACTGATACTTAACATGTTTAACATGAGGCATCTGAACCATAATAGAGGGATTTACAATTCAACGGTGGAAACAAAACCCATTGCACACTGCTGCCAACTAGCTGTCGGTATTTGAATTACACCAAAATAAAAGAAAATACACAAATGTTTGCAAGTAAATTCTTCCAAAATTAGAAAAACTGCTTTTGAATATTGATATATCGCTGGAAAAAATATCACAATATATTGCCACACATATATATATATATATATATATCACATCACAGTAGAGGGGAGCTGATATGATGTACTGCAAAACAAAAAGCCAGATGATATTTGTAATTTTTGTAACTGAATGTAAATTTTTAAAACTCAGGCCAGATGCCTCCAACACACAACCAGTGTTATCGCGAGATCTTGTGCAGGAATTATGCGTTAAAATCTTCTGCCACCTAGCAGTCAGAGTTTGAATTGCACCACACATTAGAAATACAGTAAATGTGTGCATGTAAATCCTCAATCAAAACCTGATACACTGCTTTTAAAATATTGATACAATATCAGGGCACAACATAAATGTACGTGTATTGATATTGTCTTACATCTTTAACTATATTAACGCACCCCCAAAAAGAAATAGAAATCGCGTAGGGAGCAAGCTTTCTCGTTTCCAACACAGCCCCTCTCTCTGTGAGGCAGGCTTCATCCCACGCTCGATTTAAATCAGTACTAAAGTCATAATTGTGTAGCTTAGCTTTTGGTCAGTGATGACCTTATTTTTTCTTTTCTTTGTACTTTTGTAGCTTTCTTGTTTTTATACGAGTTTTATTCCTGTGCCTTGCTTCTAGTTTTAGGTGATAAGACCTTTTATATTATTGTTTGCATTTTATACACTGTTTTATGCTGCCACTGGTTTTATTGAGTTTTTCTATTAAATTGATCTTGAGTTTCTCCCTCTGGTGGTGTTTACAAATGTACATATGGGCTTTTTTTGTTTGCCTCTGTCATGCTGTTTTTAAATGTGCTTTATAAATGAAACTGGTATAGTGTAATACTGGTAAACATCGGTTATCAGCTATAACAGCTTTATGAATGTACAATATCAATACTCTTCTAGACTTTAGTGCATTATTTTCTAAAAATGCATTTTCTTTATAGATGTATGTTAAGATTTAGTCTCCTGCTTTAAAAGTCTGCTATTTTCCCCTTTTAATGTGTTTTTACAGGCAACATATTAGACAACATGAGGCTTAAAACATCCAGTAAGGAGGCTGAGGGTAGCGCAAAGGAGACTTTTGGCAGCGCAGCTCCTGCTTCGTCTTCCCAAAGATTCCTGTGGTGTCACTGCTATCACCACTGCCCAGACGATTCAACCAATAACACCTGCAGGTAAAGTTCTGCAAAAAACATACGCCTCTGTTTCAGATTAAAGTGTGGGTTTCTGTATTTATTGTGTCCAAATGTCTTATTCAAGGACGGATGGGTACTGTTTTACCATGGTGGAGGAGGAGGGAGGGGTACCAGTACAGACTGCCGGCTGCCTGGGTCTGGTTGGATCCGAATTTCAGTGTAGAGTGAGTTCTAAACATCAAAAAGGATAATTGCATATAACGATTATATAATCAGCTTTTTGAGACAATAAGAGTTAAAAAAGTGAAACCATGAAACTTAAGCTGTTTTTTTATTCTCCAGGACACAACCCATAACAGGAGGTCGTTGGAGTGCTGTACAGATGAAGACTACTGTAACAGAAACCTTCATCCCACATTGCCACCCCTCAAACCGCCTCGTAAGTTTTTCTCTCCGCTCTCGTTCCTCCACTCATCTCTTCCCCTCCTTGTTCTCTGCGCAGCAGCCGCTCTGTGGCGATGACAAAGGTAATAATCAATAAGCGGAAAAGTGATGTGTCAGACTTATCATGACATCCTCAGGGAGAAAGAAGTTGGCTGAGGTGGGATGTGTGTGTGTGTGTGTGTGTGTGTGTGTGCGCGCGCGCGCGCGCGCGCGCGTGTGTGTGTGTGTGTGTGTGTGTGTGTGTGTGTGTGTGTGTGTGTGTGTGTGTGTAAACCACGGTCTCCCCTGACTTAGGAGGGAGTCCTTTTGTGTGAATGTGAGAAACGGTAAGCTAAGATTCCCCGGGAAATCACAGGCTTCTGTAGACACCGAGGGCAGAGTCATCAATCTGTAACCCTATCAGGAGGGATCAGGAGGAGAATCCATCGACGAGGCCGAGGGCTTCCTCTCACTGTTGACAAGGAGTGGAAGTGGGGAAAAAGGGGAAAAAGAAAGTATTCCAGAAGGAAATGAAAAATTGATGAGTGAAATACGATTTGCATTTGGTTTATTGTACTCATATTCTGTTTTTTGGTGTGAGTTTCCGCTGTGTTGCACGTTTATCACTATTGCGCTCTGCTGATGATTGAACGGGAAGCTTGGAAAAGATAAATATAATGAATGTTCAGATTATTGATCTGATATTTCTCACTTTTGTTTCGTTCTTTCCTGTCTAGTTTATGTGGATGGGAAGATCCACCACATGGCCTTGTTGGTTTCAGTGAGTGTGTGCAGCATCCTGTTGGTTGTCATCATCGTTTTCTGCTATTTCAGGTAAATAGATATGGACTTTAATCTACACAGCAGTAGATGCATATTTGATGATTCTAGATCTTTACGTTGCAGGTACAAGCGACAGGAGTCTCGTCCTCGTTACAGCATTGGTTTGGAACAAGACGAGACCTTCATCCCTCCTGGAGAATCCCTGAAAGACCTGATCGAGCAATCACAAAGCTCTGGCTCAGGCTCAGGACTCCCCCTGCTGGTGAGACACCCATAAGGCACCTGAACGCCTGCATGCATTTGGACACTTTTTAATCTTTTTATTCTTTTTTTTTCCTCCCACAGATGAAAAAAGTTGTGGATTGTATAAAATTTTATTTAATTCTAAAAATGAATGTTGTTTTATTTTTTGTAGGATCAGTGGATCTCGATATTGCCAAAAGACAGTGAAAATTATCGTAATAGTTTCTGTGCTTGATGCTCCTCCTCAGGTCCAGAGAACGATAGCCAAGCAGATTCAGATGGTGAAGCAGATCGGCAAAGGGCGTTACGGTGAGGTGTGGATGGGCAGGTGGAGGGGCGAGAAGGTGGCGGTTAAAGTTTTCTTCACCACCGAAGAAGCCAGCTGGTTCAGAGAGACAGAGATTTACCAGACGGTCCTGATGAGACACGAGAACATCCTAGGTGAGTCTGCTTCGCTCGACCTTTAGAAATTATAAACATAAACAAAGTGATTTTTTCTGCTGCTATGAAAAAAAGCAGTAACATAATAATGAATTAACTTCGTCTTCGTCTTCGTCTTCCTCCGCTTATCCGGGTCCGGGTCGTGGGGGCAGCATCCCAATTAGGGAGCTCCAGGCCGTCCTCTCCCCGGCCTTGTCCACCAGCTCCTCCGGCAGGACCCCAAGGCGTTCCCGGACCAGATTGGAGATGTAACCTCTCCAACGTGTCCTGGGTCGACCCGGGGGCCTCCTGCCGGCAGGACATGCCCGAAACACCTCCCCGGGGAGGCGTCCAGGAGGCATCCTGACCAGATGCCCAAACCACCTCAACTGGCTCCTTTCGATCCGGAGGAGCAGCGGTTCTACTCCGAGTCCCTCCCGAATGTCCGAGCTCCTCACCCTATCTCTAAGGCTGAGCCCGGCCACCCTACGGAGGAAACTCATTTCGGCTGCTTGTATCCGCGATCTCGTTCTTTCGGTCATTACCCAAAGCTCATGACCATAGGTGAGGATTTGGACGTAGATCGACCGGTAAATCGAGAGCCTGGCTTTCTGGCTCAGCTCCCTCTTCCCCACGACAGATCGGCTCAGCGTCCGCATCACTGCAGACGCCGAACCAATCCGCCTGTCGATCTCCCGATCCCTCCTACCCTCACTCGTGAACAAGACCCCGAGATACTTAAACTCCTCCACTTGAGGTAGGACCTCTCCCCCGACCCGGAGGTGGCAAGCCACCCTTTTCCGGTCGAGAACCATGGCTCCTCCTTGAACCGTCACCTTATCGTGGTGGAGGAGTTTGAGTGCCCTAATGATCCTAGGAGCTATGTTGTCTGGGGCACTTAGTGCCCCTGGTAGGGTCTCCCATGACAAATTGGTCTTAGGTGAAGGGTGAGACAAAGAACGGTTCGAAGGATCTTTCATGGCGGATAAAACGAAGAGTCGGAGTACCCGGCCCGGAGGGTTACCGGGGTCCCACCCTGGAGCCAGGCCTGGGGTTGGGGCCCGTGAGCGAGCGCCTGGTGGCCGGGCTTTCGCCCATGGGGCCCGGCCGGGCCCAGCCCGAACCGGATACATGGGCTCGTCCAACTGTGGACCCACCACCCGCAGGAGGAACATGAAGGGTCCGGTGCAATGTGGATCGGGTGGCAGACCAAGGCGGGAGCCTTGGCGGTCCGATCCCCGGACAAGAAAACTAGTTTTTGGGACATGAATTAACTTATTATCTAAAATAATTAAACGTTTGATTTTGTTCTAATTCATCTATAAGAGCTTAAAAGTTACTAAAAGTGTGAATTTTAGCTTTTTACTTTAACTGAAACAGTTAAAAATGATATAAAACGATAAATGAATAGTCGCTCACTGAAACGGCCCATGAACCAGAATCTGAAGATGAAAAACTACAAACCGAGGTTGCTTTAATTAAAATGCTACACGGTGCTTTGTAGTTATGTGATGAAGGGTAAAAATCACGTCTGAAACATGCTGCAGTGCTTAATGCAAGCACGGCTGATAGAAACTAGATGTTGGGATTTGAAATGAGTTCCAGGATCTGTGAAGCTGCATTCTCCCACAGTCACACCCTAATAGTCAATTAAAACAAGGAGATAAAACTTGTCTATAAATACACATATAATAAAAAAATACCTATTAGTTACAAAGATTTGAGATGACAATAGATTTAAATAATTGTTAGATTTTTGTATTTAAATTAAAAGAGCAGCTGCTTTAAATGACGGAATATTTAAGAAATGTTTTCTTGTATTCAATTTTCTTTTGTCACTGAAGTTCTGTCCTTGATAGATGGCAAATTTTAGCCATGCAGAAGAAAACATAAATCAGGAAGACTAAATTCAAAACGTTAATTGGAAAAATGTTCAATTATTTTTGCAGATAAAAGCCAAAAGATTATTTCCAGAGAAAAAGTTGAAATGAGGGGAAACAAACCTCAGTGTGCTCCTGCAACTGTTTTTGATCAGTATATTGTTTTGTTAAGTATTAAGCCTCTCTCACAGTAGCATCGGCTCCGATTAGCATAGCCTGCCTTTTATCAGGGTGCACCCGGACTGTTTTTCAGCCCTCTTCCTGAGGTGGTCTGCTTCAGGCTGACCATGGACAGCACAACCTCTGCTGACTGATAAGTTGGTTCAAATTCACACCTTTCATAGGGGAATCCTCCGATTGGTGGGTAGAATCAGCCCACCTGGGCTTACGGCATTATCATGCTGACTACCTAGGAGCTGAGAACTTATCAGACTGCTTTCATTGCATTCCTAAGCAAGGATGTGTGGAATCAACTGGGCCAGGCTGGGGCTGACTGGGGCTATCCGAGTGGTGTGGAGCCGATGCAAGTGTGAAAGGAGCATTAGTATTATTTTTTTAACCAAGTGATTTGTTTTAACTTTAACATCAGCGTCCAAAACAGAACTCATCTTTCACAATAAGAGCATGCACACGTACCTGAACACCCCCGTAAACACACAAAGTATATATTGTTAGTTTTGTTCTCTGCAGCACACACTGCTGGGTGTTCAGGTTTACAGGTTTGATTCAGCACAGGAAATTACAGTGTTTGTGCTAAAAGTAATATTTATTAAAACCAATAGGGAACCTAAGTCACGCCCATCTACTTCCGGACCATGATTCCGTAGAAGAACGAAAAAAGAATGCAAGTCAACTGGGTTAAAAATGTTATTTTCTAATTCTGCTTGTTTTGTGCCATGATTTCACATATGATGACCGTGAATTTGAAATAAGCATTTTGATACCAAGAAAGCGCTTATTTTCAAACGGGGGAAAATGCTATTTTAGGTTTTGTGTGAAAATAAGTCCAGGACTACAAAAGCGCATCACGAAAGTGACGTCATCGAACCAGACACGGAGAAAACTGAGGGAAAATGGCGGTGAGTCCAATAAACATTAAATCTTTCCTTCAGGAGGAAAGAACCACCTTAAATCTGGCCATTTGGTGAGTAGCAGCTACGCTAGGGCAGAGGAGATTCTGTGGTGACATCATAAATGCGACATGCCAGTGTCTGATTTGTAGTCATGCTAATTATGAACTTTTACAAGCTGATAAGTCTTAAAAGTACACGACGGGCATCTTCAAAACGCCCATCACTAGTTTTCATTTCAACAGAAGTACAACATATGTGTGATCCAAGGCTTGAGGCAAAGCAGATTAGAAAAGTAGGTCTTTTAGCTCCGTTGACTTGCTTTCATTTTTTCATTCCTGTGGGAATCCATGAGCCGACCGGAAAGGGAGAGAGACTTAGGCTCCCTATTCTGGTGCATGGCCACGTCGCTCAGTTGAGCAAGGCATTATGGGTTTTGTAGGTCTTTGAACCAGTGCTGGTTTGATTTTCAAAGTAAAACTGGTCTAAAAATAAAACCTTTCTTCCTAAGATGCTTTTATTATTATCAATTTTTGTTACCTTTTTCAGCATTTCTACCTCATTTCAACAATTGTACTTTTATTTTCAAGACAACAAGCTTCTTCTCCATCGTTTATTTTTATTTTTATGACATTTCTGCCTGACACACTCGATGGTGACAAAGTGCTCCAAATAGTTCAAATCCTATTTAGACCAGCATAAAACAAATCTGTGAACTTCAAATAATCCGAAGCAAATGTTTTTAAATTCATGTTTATTTTTTTGCCAGCACTTTAACTTGCTTGAAAGAGCTTTACGAATAAAATTATTATTTTTATTATGAATTTTTATTTTTCATAATTATAATGGCTCTGCATAAGAAACAGATCATCAAATGTACTGGTTACATTTTGCAAAACCATCAACATCGTGTTGAGAAAGGATAAATCATCTTTTGTAATGTCTACTCCCCTTCACTCCCTCCTCCTCTTTGCCGACAGGTTTCATAGCTGCAGATATCAAAGGCAGCTCCTGGACCCAGCTCTACCTGATCACTGACTACCATGAAAACGGATCTTTGTATGACTACCTCAAATCAACCACTCTGGACAACAAAGGCATGCTGCGCCTGGCCTACTCCTCCATGTCTGGACTCTGTCACCTCCACACGGAGATCTTCGGGACCCAGGGCAAACCTGCCATTGCTCACAGAGACCTGAAGAGTAAAAACATTCTGGTGAAAAGAAACGGGACCTGCTGTATCGCTGACCTGGGTCTGGCTGTCAAGTTTATCAGGTGAGTGTGTCAAAACATCAGAAAATTGTAAAACTTAAAGGGATAATTTACAACTTTTTCATATATTTCAATCAATTTCTTGAGTCAGAATGTGCTAAAATGACACTTTACAGGGTTAATGAATTGCCACTTAGACCCTGTCTTCCCTGTGGCCAGAATAGTTCACTTGTACTTCAGTGTGGCTGCCCACCATCTGTTAGACTCAGACAAAAATTGAGCTGACATATCTGGCCCTGCAGTCTGGTTCCAGCAAGTTTCCTGCATGTTTTAGACCATGAACACAGCTGATTTGTTTAATTTAGTGATAAATCACTCCTGTAGACACTAACGAAGGCTGGGGCGACATTTCAGCTGTTAGGTGAAGGCGTTAAAAAGACAAACTCACAGCGAGATGAGCTTTGCTTTTGGTTCTACAGACACTGGGGGTGCTAAAAGCAAGCCAAAAATGCTTCTCCCCCTACTGGTTGAAAGTAGAAGTACAACTTTCATAAACAACCCTGCCATACCTTCTGTAACTAACGCTAACAGCGAGCTAACACTGACATGAGCAAACTTATACTAAAATAAGCCACAAAGTAAAAAGATCCAGAATGTTGAACAAAAATGTTATTTACAAGTCCAGTCGCAACAAAGCCAGGTCACCATCAGTCCATCATTTCCTATCCTCCTCCAAACAAGTGCAGGCCAGGCCAGTGGTTTTAGCTCTTTGCTTCGCTTATCTTTATTTAACTTCCAGGTTCTGCCATGATGCCAACAAAATAAGCTAAATTCTTCTTCCTGTGCTTTTTATTGACAGTTGGCAAACTGAACAAGCTAACTGCTAATCTTTAAATGAATCTACCAGCACTAAACCGCTTAAGCAAGTAGAGGCCTACAAAAGTGTTCCTACCCAAACCGCAAAAGTGTTACGGGTAGTTTCTGATCAGCAGACGGCTACAGAGTGCCGTCCAATGAGAAGTTGTTCATGTTTCTGCCTCAAGAACCACTGAAACCAGTTGGAAAGTGTTGAAAACTCTAGCGCTGCTTCAACATTAGATGAAATCCACTTTTATTCTCATTTTCTGTAGTGACACAAATGAAGTGGACATCCCTCCCAACACTCGAGTTGGTACAAAGCGCTACATGCCTCCAGAAGTTTTAGATGAGACCTTGAACAGGAGTCACTTTCAGTCGTACATCATGGCGGACATATACAGCTTTGGGCTCATCCTTTGGGAGATTGCTCGGCGTTGCGTCTCAGGAGGTAAACAAGCTCAAGTAAAATTCATTCTGTTTTTTTTTTCTTTTGGACCCAAACTTATTTCATCTGAGCACATTTCATTTGTTGTGAATCCCACATGGGTCAGGAATCCTGGAGGAGTACCAGTTACCATACCATGAGTTAGTCCCTGCAGACCCTTCCTATGAAGACATGAGAGAGGTGGTGTGCATCAAGAAGCTGCGGCCCTCATTTCCTAATCGATGGACCAGTGATGAGGTAACTCATAAAAAGGTGCCATATTTTGCACGCACAAACAATTAAATGACTCCTCTAATAAAAATGTGTGTCTCCACAGTGTTTGAGACAGATGGGGAAGCTGATGACAGAATGCTGGGCCCACAACCCGGCCTGTCGCCTCACAGCTCTGCGGGTCAAAAAGACACTTGCCAAAATGTCAGAATCACAGGACATCAAGCTGTGAGGAGTTGCAGCCAGCTGTGCATGGAGAGGGCAACGATGATCACACTGGATCTGATCCAGGCTGGGACAGTCTTTATTTCTTTTGTTTTGGGGAAAGAAGCAGGAAAAGCATCACTGGATCTAAAACTCTGGATCTAATGCACAGAACCCTGCAAAGCCTTACGTTTGGTCAGAGATTGCAACAAATCAGTGTGTGGGTCTCAAACTGAGAAAAGGTCCCTATGCACATGCTCCAAAGGTCTCTAGAATGAGGCTGTAGCTGCAGAGAAACTCAGTCTACTGACCAGGAAGTGGAAGAATATACCTGTGCTTTCTGTGAAAGCTGCCCTACCTGTAGACGAAGGTCCGATTAACAGAACTGAAGGGATAGAGCAACCCGTTACTGCACCTAAACACCTCTGTTCTACACACTCATCATCCCACTACTGGCTTTATACAGTTATTGTTATTATTATTGGATTGAACGCATTCTTGTCACTCTTGAATGGACTGACCTTGTGTGTCAGAAGTATTTTGAGGCTTTACTGTAAATTTCTGTTGAAGCTGATTAAAGTTTTTAGACACTGAAGAGATGTTGAACTTGTATGTGAGCTGCAGTAGGTTTATCAAAGTTGTAAAACTGCATTTTCCATGTAAAACTCTAAATTTGTCAGATTATATGTGGAAAAAATAATGTTTATATGGTTCAATAAATTTGGATTGAAGGCCTTTTTTTTGCTGTTTACTGCAACTGTATTACTATCAAGGTGAGACACACTCATAGGTTCTCTTACGGGGTTTCGAATTACAAAACCATAAACAGTCACAGTGAACAAATGTAGCAGGCAAGAAGAAGATATGAGGTGAAGTGAGGGTTGCTGGTTCAATCCCAGCTTGGAGACTAGTTACAATGAGCGCAGTTTTAAACACTTTTAATCCAAAGTTTCATAAGACTTAACTTTATACTGCTGTAAGGTACACATTCCTTCTTTCCTTGACCTCAGACCATTTTTCTGCTGCAAAGAAGAATTCTGTGTAGTTTGGCACAGCTTCAAATACAGCAACCAATCTGAAAATTAAAAATCAGATATTTTTTATTTTTCTTTAAGTTTGTAGACTTTTGTTCATTATTGCACTATTACCTAAAGATTATTAAAAACCAATAAATTAGGTCACGGGTAATTACGGCTCTTTGAGATAAATGGGGATTAGCTAGTATTGGTATTGCTGGGTCAGAGCTGGAATCACAAATGAGTACAAAAACTCTATAATGTACTATGACCCAAGTCACCTGAACCTCTTCAAATATTCGATTAGAGTAGCTTTAAGAAGGCAGAAACACGTGCAGCTGCCCCCGCTCTGACCAGCTGTTTGGCCTGAACGAAAGTCGAGTCTCCAAACAGGTTGTTTAAAGGCTACATTCACCTTTTTCTCAGAAATACATGTTTAAAGGTGTGGAACACAGAAAAAAAAACTTTTTAAACGATTATTCCTGATTCTGATCGGTCACTGTGTTTCACACAGGCTGAACATCTACAACACCTGTCTCCTGCATTAGCTTCTGACAGAAAATAGAGGGTGAAGCTCTATGATTAGAAAAGCCTGACAGATCTACGTTACACTGCCACTTAACATTCATTGACTCACCCATCTTGGCTCATGATGGAGAAGGCTGTTGTACGATTAGCGTCCAGGAAACGGCAGAGAATGTCTCAGCTAGTAGAAGCTAAATGTTTGCCTTAGCAACTCCACCCATAGGCGTCATTTTAACCGGGGACGCCGGGGACATGTCCCCGGCAAAATTTGTGATTGGCAGCTGTGTCCCCCCCACTTTCAAAAACGCCTGCTGATGAGGATTTTTGTTTTACCAGCTCAGATCTTATCCAGGGGTCGGCAACCTGTTCCCATCAAAGAGCCATTATTACCCGTTTCCCACAGTAATTCTGGACGGACCTTAATAAGCAGTGACTTAAGTGAAGCAGGCAGGTCGCGCTAGAAAATTTAGTTTAAAAAGACGTCATAAATGTTTTCCCCCGTCATTTTTATTTATAAAATATGAAGTAAAAACTCACAATTTAATTTTCATTCATTTGTCATTAATATGTAGTCTACACCCGTGCGTTAACCATCTTCCAGTAAACGCACAGCATCCAGCCCACCTCTCCAAATGCGTAAAATGTGCATCAGCCGCTAGTTAGGCGCACCATCAGCTGATCAGCCCAGACAAGAGCAGAGCAAATAGAGACAGAATAGAGGATGATTCTGTCTGGATGTGGATGGAGATTACATTTTACAGCAGCCTGATCATCATTTAAATACGTAAACCATCACCTGTCTTCTAGTCCATGCTATCAGCATATATTTTAATTGGTGTGTGTGTGTGTGTGTGTGTGTGTGTGTGTGTGTTTTCCACTTCAAACACTGGTCTAACCAACCAGACCAGCGTGTCCAGTAACGTATTAATGTTACAATTAAACAGTTTCCCTTCATGTAGGCTAGGAACATTTCACCTGCCGTGGCCCGACCGCTTCTGCTCCACACGAACTTTGTGCGTGATCAAATGTCTCCATGCGTCTCCATATTAGAGACGGGAACAAGCGCTGTTCAGCCAGTTTCATAATTTCATAAAAAGAACATTTTTCCAAGTGACACATCCCTCAGAGAGACCGGGTTTCCAGACCGCTTCAGTGGGAGGAAATCTTATCGCATGCACCATGGTTCTGCGCTGCGCTGCGAACCCCCCAGATCTTCAGCTCACTGTCCACCGTGGGCGCTCCGAGCCGCGCTGAACACAGTGTCCAGTATAAAGCTCTGATGTTCTGATGGGAATCTTTTACCTCCGCGATGTGCGTTAACGATTAAAATGTCAGCTCATCCATGTGCATCAGTGTGCATCGGGGTAATTCTTTCAAACCAAGCAACATCCTTGAGTTCATCTGTCAAAATAAACAGTCAAATGGAAATATATGTAACCTGCCGTTTAACTGTTTTGCCTTCTTGTGAAGATTGTTGCAAAGAGAAACAATTAAACTTGATTAACCCCAGAGCCACCCAGAGAACCAGAGCGCATGTGGGAAGGTTCCTCCCACTGAAGCGAGTGTTTTCCAAACCCGGTCTCTCAGAGAGACTTGTCACTTAGAAAATGTTCCCTGATGATGAAACTTTGGCTGAATAGTGCTTGTTCCCGTCTCCAATGTGGCGACACATCCAGGAGCCGTCTGAGGAGAATCCCAGAATCTCACATCGTCTTCAGCTAATAAAGCGCCTATGATTACGCACAAGCGTGACGCGTCAACCCGGTCTCACAGTAAGACCGGGTTGGACCTGTTCAGGTTTACGCAGACAATCTTTACATTTAGAATTGGCATACAGATGTAAAATTAATGCAGTAAAATATAAAGCATTTTATTTAAATATCCATTCATTATTTTACAAACACAGAGCCGCATCAGATGGATGGAAGAGCCGCATGCGGCTCCAGAGCCGCCGACCCCTGTGCTAGCCTACTTTATTGTCCCCAGCAATTTTTAAACCCCACTCAAGTGTATGGTTATTGTCCCCAGCAATTCTGGAAACAAACTGACGCCCTTGACTCCACCATATGGCAGAACTCCTTCAGGCTTGTGTCGTTTGTGGAGATAAAATGTAAGGCTCTCTCTTCTCAACCACCTTAGGGGGTGTTACCCACTTTGACCTTGGGGCTTCCAGTCCATGCACAAATCGTCCTGTACACGATGTTGCTGTTGTCCAGTCCAAGGTGAAATCTCCAAATAACAGGAAATAACACCCCAAATCCTGCCATCTGAAGCTCAGCTGTGATGTGGGCGCGCGCGCACACACACACACACACACACACACACACACACACACACACACACACACACACACACACACACACACACACACACACACACACACACACACACACACACTTACATCAAGTACAGTGAACTTTGTCATGTTCAAGAAACCAGTCTGAGATGATTTGAGTTTTATGGCATGGCACATTGTCCTGTTAGAGGAAGCCATCACAAGATGGGTACACTGAGGTCATAAATGGATGGACATGGTCAGCAACAATACTCGGGTTGGCTGTGGCATTGCAACATGGATCAATTAGTACTAAAGGGCTGCATAGGTCTGAAACCCCTCAGCCAAATATTCAGCAAGACTGGCTATGGATACCGACTCAAGAATAGAACCACTGTCAGACACCTCCTCTACAGGGATGACATAACGCTGTACGCCAAGAGCGAGCGAGACATCGACTCACTGATCCACACCACCAGGATCTACAGCACTGATATCAGAATGTCAATCGGACTTGGGAAGTGTGGTCAGATGGTGACTAAGAAAGAGAAGGTGGTCCACACAGAAGGGGTCTCACTCCCAGAAGAAACAATAGCAGACATTGAGGACAGCTACAAGTACCTCGGTATCCCACAAGCAAATGGCAACTTCGATGAAGCACTAAGAAAAGGAGTCACAGTCAAATACAACGAGTAAGGCAAGTCCTAAGAAGTCAGCTCGATGGCAAGAACAAAATCTGGACAATAAACAGCTACACCCTGCCAGTAATCAGAAATCCTGCAGGAATAATAAGATTGCCACAGGAAGAAATACAAACCACAGATGTTAAGACATGAAAGCTTCTAACCATGCATGGAGGGTTCCATCCCAAGTCCAGTACTCTGAGAGTGTACACTAGCTGTAAGGAAGGAGGCTGAGGACTAGTGAGTGTGAGAGCCATTGTCCACGATGAAACATCCAAGATCCATAAGTACATCAAGGATAAGGCCCCAACAGATGACATGCTCAGTGAATGTCTCAGACAATGGAAAACAGAGGAGGAGACGCTAGAATTACCATCATGGGAGGACAAGCCCTTACATGGGATGTACCATCCACAGATAACTGAAGTGGTGGATATCAAGACATCCTACCGATGGCTAGAAAGAGCTGGTCTGACGGACAGCACAGAGGCATTCATCATGGCTGCACAGGAACAGGCCCTGAACACCAGAGCAACAGAGGCCAAGATCTACCACACCAGACAAGACCCGAGGTGTAGGCTATGAGGCCCCTGAGACAATCCACCACATAATGGCAGGGTGCAAGATGCTGGCAGGGAAAGCATACATGGAACACCACAACCAAGTAGCTGGCATCGTGTACAGGACCATCTGTGTAGAGTATGGACTGGAAGCCCCAAGGTCAAAGTGGGTAACACCCCCTAAGGTGGTAGAGAACGAGAGAGCCAAGCTCCTGTGGATCCAGACTGACAAAATGGTGATGGAGAATCAACCGGACATGGTGATGGTGGACAGGCAACAGAGGTGAGCCGTTGTGGTTGATGTGGCATTTCCCAGTGATGGCAACATCAGGAAAAAGGAACACGAGAAACTAGAGAAGTATCAGAGCCTCAAAGAAGAACTTGAGAAAGCCTGGAGAGTGAAGACATCAGTGTTACCCGTGGTCATAGGCGAACTCTGGGCAGTAAGCCCCAGACTGGAGGAGTGGCTGAAGCAGATCCCAGGAAACATCAGCTCCAAGGCCTCTGGTATAGGACCCATGCTTGGAAGGATGAGATCACCTGTGGAGGGTGAGATGGGAATATATATATATGTATGTGTATGTGTGTGTGTGTGTGTGTGTGTGTAAATAATGTATTGATCAAATGAGTGAACTACACCTGAAATCTACTAGAGAAATGTTTCTCACCATGTTTTTAGCTCATCCATAAAAATCTGCAAAACTTTTGTAAAACATTGACAACATTTGTTTAGAGTTCGGTGAATTTCTTCAAATCAAGGTATTGCTAGTTGCTAATAGAGAGTGGATATCTCTTTCTTTCCTTTTGTGAGTCAAGCTTTGATTCATTCCTACATCAAGGGGTGGTCAGTTTGTTCAGGAAAAGAGTGCTGTTACTCCACTGATGCAGCTGGTGGTGGCTGGAAAATAACGAGGATTTTTTTTATGTCTTTGATGAAAAAAGAAAAAACAAAACACCTTAACACCTCATTATGACTCAAACGTGCTGCTGAGCACAAGGCGTGCAACCAAACACCACAAGGACTTTTCAGTTTTTCACATTTTCTCACTCCAGACTAGTTTTTCTCACGTTCTTCAATCTGGAACATATAATTATCTCACCGGTTATTGTTGCAGAAGTCACACACACACACACGCACGCACGCACGCACGCACGCACGCACACACACACACACACACACACACACACACACACACACACTCTGTTTAGTTCTTTTAAAATAAACCACCACCAGACACCACATTTATCAGCATTGCTTATAAATATAATTTATTAATTGTCTTAAAAATTCTTTCTTACACTTTGTACAGAAAACAATTAGAGCAGATAGAGAGGCAAGCAGTCAGCAAGATTAAGCAAGACTCTTGAAGCGCGCCAAAGTTAGCATAAAATAATGGACCGATACTATCCCACGCTAATCAAATCACTCATGGTAATTAAAAATCAAAATGCACTCACAAAGACAGCTCTAATTATAGACTTCTATGATAACCAATGCCAAGTTTGCATAGTAGACACTGCTTTTACAAAACAGGAAACAAAACCTCAAAGGAAAAACAAAACCAGAACATACAAACTATTATCTAACTGTACTGCTCTTTTTAAATTCAGAAATTTGCCAACTATAGTCAACAGTACACAACTGTACATACTGTAGATATAAAATATTTGTACATAATTTGATATTTTTTAACTTTTTTTCGTCACATCATGAAGGATTGCCCTCCAGAGGTCCTGATGTTCTCTCCTCGTTGGAAAACCCCCGTTAACAGCACTAACTACACGTTCATCCTGCTGGTAAACGGCTGTAAACTTTGAACTGGGAGTTAACATTAGTTAAATCCTCATTTCTTAACTGATGTATCTCACTGAATCTGTTAAAAAATACTTTTTCTGTAGACCTCAGCTTGACGTTCAAGCTGTTTTTATGTTTTTACACAAACCTCTGAAACAAACAGAACAACTGAGTCGGCGTGTTTTGGCTTTTATCCTCATAAACGTTTCCTTTTGATTTTCTCATACTAGAATTGAAGTAAAAAAAATAAAACTACCCACTTTTTTTGTCTTTCACACCTGCTGTGACGCCGGCAGCTCCTCCAAGGCCGCTGCACCGCCCAGCTCTGGTTTTACACGTGTAGAAAAAGGTCCGGATCTTGTAGTCGCACATTCCTCACAGACTAAACAAGGAAGGAAAATCGATGTAGAAAATCAATGTCTGAGTGGATGACCATGAGATGAAAGCTGTCATGACCAGGGAAAGGCCTGACCTTTTGTCCTATTCTTCAGTTAAATCCTGATTTATTTTTGCAATCTTTATTTTGAAGAATATCCTCTTAAAAATCTCTGCACCCACTTTCTGAACAGTGTATGTATTCCTTGAGTCCAGTGGAAATCCGACCTAGTTTTACATTTTCCCTGCAAAATTATGTATTCAATTCATTTTAAACCCTCTAGTTAGTTAACTTTTAGCTTCAACTTGCAACTTTTCTCATAATTAGACCAAATGATGGCTTGTTTGCTGCTAACTAAAAGTTGATTAGAACATGATGTGAACATAGAATATAACAAGATTTTAAAAATACAAAATGAAATGTAAATAATCATAATTAATGAAGAAAATAAAGAGATACATTGACATTAGGATGAATGTTATAAGCATGTATTTACAATTTTCAGGTGATTGACCAAAAATAAAAAGTCTTACTTTAAATCTTCAAAGGCCACTAGATGGCGCCAGTGACCAGCAAAGTCACGGACGTATCATTTATACCTGACATCCTCCTAAAGCCTAAAGTATTAGAATACTAGTTACGTTTATTGATAATAAAGAAAATATGTTTTTTTTATTTTTTCTATTTTCATACTCATTATGAATTGTGATGTTGTTCATCACTGGGTTAAAAAAAGGTCCTGTCCAGAAACAAGCCTCAACTAAACCCAAAAAAAAAAAAAAAAGAATACAGCTTTGAAACAAACTTAGTGCACATACACTCTAAAAATGAAATGTTGAATTTACTCGAAACAGTAATCCAGAGTTTCGCTCTTAGAAGAAATACGTATTTTACATATTTTTTTAGAAATCTGTAAAAGTAATAGTCTTACCCTGTACCGTGATATGATGTAGGCAATTTGTTTTGTTAAGCCCACCCCTTGTCCCATAGAAATCCATGAAATTAGAATTTATTGACACTTAGCATTAGCCAATAGCGTTAGACATCGGCTTACGTACAGATGTCAGTTACAGAGTTTGTGGGTGTTTATGGACGTACCTAGACAGATGAGCGTTGAAGACCTTTCTAATGGAAAAGTAGGTCTTTAAACGTTTGGGTGTGTTGGTCAGCTGGAGGTGAAAGTTCACAAACAAGAGGTGTTGCTTTCAGCCATAATCGCCGAACTGTGTATGGAGGTGCGATACGTTTTTCCTCAGATGGTGCTGCTCTCTGAGAAAAAAACTCTGTTTTAACCAACTTATGTGAACTTGTTCCACTAAACCTAGTTGCTTTAATATAAAGAGTAATATGCACTTACTTTTAACATAATGCTTATCAGGCTGGGAATATACCTCGTGCTGACGCAAGCTGCGTCTTGTTCACATACTTGCTGCTGCACTGCATGTAGTACTGCAGTACTTGTGTAGCATTGTGTAGTACACAATAGAGAACTCAGACCGGATAACGTCCCAGGTTTGTGAGGTACAACCAAACCAAACATGGCATCAATTTTAAGAGATCAGTGACTGGTTAACTTTGAGATAACGACAGAAAAAAAGACAGCACCGGTATCGTAGAAAGACTTCTAAACCAGAGACAGCGTTACAATGGCGAGTGTGTTTAGCTCGATTTGTCAACTCTACCTACTGGTTACTTGCATATTGCAGCTTCCAAATGTTTAGCTTTAATTTCGGGGAATTCGCGCAAAAGCTTCAGACACAAATTACGTCAGGCAGCCATAATAAATGCGCGTTCACATAATTTAAAGCAACTAGGTTTAACAGAACCAGTTGACACAACTTAGTCAAGTAAATTCAACATCTCATTTCTGAAAGTGTCCACTGCGAAGCGTGGTAAAAATCTTTGGGTCGGACATTTTAGATATAGTTCTTTTGCCGATGATTTTGTTTAACCATAACATTAATGATTTAAAGAAAGCCCTTATTCTATCAGTCCAAAAAGAGAAACCTGCAAACTCAGGCTTGTTTCTGGTCAGGACAAACAGTTACTGTGTGGCAAATTCTATGGCAGGAAATGATCCACACATATGGATGGCAGAATACATAAAGCATTTCCCTAGAAACGATTTGAAAGGCGACAAACTGTACTGAAACACGTACAACCGAGGCTCACGAGGCTCCCCTCTCATTATCTGTGATCCATCCAGATGGTCACCTGCCACCGCTTCCATCGTTTTATGTTTATGTCCTTCCTCTTTCCTGTAATCAGTTTACCTGCTCTCTGTGTTTGATCTCATCTTTCCAAAGAGTCAAACTCAAGTCTTAGTTTATCCTCGGTCCTACTGCTCCGTGGTCTTCTGTAATTAGTTTACCTCCTCTTTCTTTTTCCATTCCTGTAGATGTTCTCAAGGTCGACTATCTGATTCGCTATTTTCATGTCTCAGCTTTGTTTGGTATGAAAGTAACAGCAAGAAAAAAAATGTGGTGTTACAGTAAAAAAAAGTCTTTTTTTTGTTTTGTTTTTTAGGCGTGTGTGTTGCCTTTGTTCCTGATTGGTTGGACGATCTCTCCTATGGTCGCAATTTCTTGCACAATTCACTCACACACAACAGATGTACAAACGTAGGTCCAGCTCCAGCTCGAGCACCTGTTGTTCCGTTCATCACGTCGAAGTGATTACCATGATTTCTAAACAGTGCTCCGTCACCATGGCGACAGCTTTTGCTTGCGTCTAATTGATTCATTGCTCTGTAGCTGCGGTATCAAACCCAGATAATTCAGTTGTAATTATCTCCAGAGTTTAGCAGTTGTCGTATTAAATATGGTGCTTTCGTCAGTGTTCTGATGCCATAGAGGCCAGGGTGCTGTCATGTCGACCCATTTCTTCTAACACGGCAGCCAGTTCATTTAGGTCTCCATCAGGGAAATGCTGAGCCTCCCAGAGGTCCAGGATCACACCAGTCGGACTGGACTTGGTGGCAAAGTAGTTCAAGTATCTGGAGAGAAAAAAATTACAATCAAGAAGAAAGAAACATTTAAGATACGATGACCAAATTAATGTTAGCTATCAACTACTTGATTGTAGGAAGTTTAATGTCTCTGTTTAATTGTTTAGGATTGGCAAAAATACTCTGACTAAATACAAAATGCACTTTTCAAATGAAGATTTTATTTATTAAAGAGGAAGTCCCCCCAAATCCACTTTGTTTCTTGCTGATAAACTATATAAACGGATGTCTAACTGTACTGTTGACATGTGTAGTCAACAATTTGGCCCTTTAGTGCAGCTTTGTTAAAATTTAAACATTCTGGCTAAAACTGTCAGTGCTGTGCCCTTTTCAGGTAAAAACTTAGCACTGGATTTGAATTAAAATCTGCCACTGCTATTGGATAAGAGGTACACTATGATGTTAGCTGGCACATTATGATGTCACAATGTTGTTGTGAGTTTGTGTGATTAATTGTTAACGGCTCTGCCCCCTTGGTCTGCCAGGCAACAGCATTTGTTGCATTTGTCAAACAGGGAGTGAGTCTGGAGTAAGACTTAAGTAGGGGGAGACTTGTTCTTTAAAGAAAGAAAGTTATCCAAACCAGCCTGGTCCAATGTAAAAGCATAGCTAGCCCCTTTGTTAAAACATAGCTATCTGTGTTTAATCAAACTTTGTGAAAAGCTGAGCTCAGATAGGCACACCCAGGACTGATTACTGTCTGAATAACAAAATCACTTCAATAAAATCTGTCTGATCACATGAAACTGTCTAAAAAATCAAGTAACTTTCTAAAAAACTAATGATCACAGAACTTCTAAAGCATTGTACGCCTCACTTTAGGGTAAGGTCAAAGGTTGTGATTCAAGACGAATGAGGACACAAAAATCCATCTCACGATTGTCCTCATGCAAAGTACTTCACTCATATTTTTTAAAGCTTTTGTGGTCTCTAGTAGGAATGAATGCCTTTCATGTCATATTCTGGTTGCAAAACGCTCTTATGGGCTTGTTTCAGGAGCTAGCAGTGAGCCAGGTCACAGTTAATCTAAATTCAGCAGGATCTGGAGTCTTATTTCCTGAAATGTGGACATTTCGCCTCAGTTTGGGTAACAGCAATGCAACTCTACCACTGACTCGCAACTCTGATGTTTTATCTCCACAATAAACTTAAGCCTGAAGGAGTTCAGCTGTGTGGTGGGGTTGCTAATGCTAATGGTTAGCTTCTACTAGAAGTTCATTGTTGTTTCCTGGACATTAAACCAACAACTGGCTTCCCCATCTTGTGAGCTAAGAAGGGGGAGTCCATGAATGTTAAGTGACGGTGTGATGTAGATATGCCAGGCTTTTCAAATGCTAGAGTTTCACCATCTATTTTCTATTAGATGCTAATGCAGGAAAAAGGAGGCTATTTTCACACTTAATCTGCATGACAAACTCAGAGTGACCAATTATAATCAGAAATTATCATAAAATTTATTAGAATTTTTTTTGAGAAGTTGACCTTAAAGATGTTTTTCCTTAAACATCTGGTGTAAAAGTAACACCGCAGTTCAGAAAAACAACATCATACCAATGGTCAAGCATAGAGATGGTTGTGTGATGGTATGTGGCTGATTAGCTGCTTCAGAACCTGAACCAGTTGCAGTTATTAATGAAGGTATGAATTCTGCTCAAATTCCTCCATAACCAAAAAAGAGACGCAATAATCAGTTGTTGTCGAGGGTGTTTTAATCAGTCATCAGGTTTTGTGATCAATGACTCTGATGAGTTTGATGGGTGTCAATCATCAGCCCCACCCTCCCAACCCTGCTCCATCTCTTTGCCCATTTTCATATTGTCTGGAAGTAACGAGATGTGTGACATGGCCAAGATGGTGGTGCTGGGAACTGCCCACTGGGCTTCAATGCAGCTCTCTAGAAACATACAGGTAGTGTCATGGAGGGTTTGTCCAGTATTTATACAGTCAATGGTCCTTACAGATGAAATCATCATTAAAAAACAATTTTTCAGTTAAATCATGTTATCTTTGTAATAGATTTTTTTTAACTTACTGATACATTTAAACGTAACTAAAAGGCTAAGATATCAGTGACAAAAAACATTTCTCTTTTTTTAACTAAATAAAAATTATTAAATGAAACTTTTATTATTTTCTGATTGCGTGCTACTGATGTTTCTTACAAGATTTTAGAGAAGTACAAATAAATAAATAAAATACAGTATTAAGTAGGGAAGTAAAAAAATATTGACATGGCATATATATTTTCCTGCTATATTGATATTCAAAACATATGTCGATTTTTTGGAAGAATTTACTTTCAAACTTTTGTGTATTTTCTCTTTTTTTGGTGCAATTCAAACACCAACCGCTAGTTGGCAGCAGTGTCAAATAGGTATATTTTCCACCATTGAAATGTAAATCCCTCTATTATGGTTCAGATGCATTATGTTAACCATGTTGCGTATCAGTTAGGACAGTTTATTGAATTTTCCCGCAATAATTTCAGTCTAAATAAATCACTATCGTCTGGCTGAATGTATCGCAATATGTCATGATATATTGTATCATCTCCCCTGTATCGTGATACGTATCGTATCACCAGAATTTCACCAAAGCATATCCGTAGTGTTAAGTACATCATGAATAACTAGCTTACCTTCTTTAGTATGCTTACATCTGATACATTTTCACTAAAATACAGAAACAAAAAGTGAAACGAGACTAAACTGTTCAGAAAGTGGACAAACCTAGCAGGTAAACCTATTTAGTAAGTTTTATATTATGCTCTGTATGTTCCTTTCAAACCACTTTGAAAAATGAGTGGAAAAAAAAACTTTTAGATTTATATTAAAGCACAGAAATGTGTCAACAAATCACCAGGGAATACTGGCAGCTGTCAAGAGTCAAGACCACATTGATTGGTGAGGAAATATTTGACACTGATCCATCTGCGACAAAGATCTCATTGCTGCTTTGAAGAGTAAAAGCCATCAGATTTCCGTCCCGTGGGGATGAAATGAGACTTTCTGTTCAGTAAATCCTGTGATTGTACTTTTGGCACATTCTGGTGTGTTCAAATCGAAGCGGCCGACACGTACCATGCCCTTCTCCACCACTTTCCACTCCGACATTATTTTATCTTCTTTCACTTTTCCTTCCATTCAAACAATCTAATAGAGTTAATTTCAGGGCTGCTTTCCTCACTTCAGCTCTCCCTCATCTCAACTTTATCTGTTCCTCGTTTGTGATAAGGAATACCCTGCTGCTAACTGAACTCAAATTGCTCAGATCCACTCTTTTTAGAACAGATTTGGCACCATTTGGGCCAAAAAAAAACACCACTACATGTTTGGAAATATGCGTTTTTATATTCCAACAATATGAAAGTTACATAAAAATGAAGGCTGTGAAAACAGTCCATCCTATTTTGAAGTCAGTAAAATGACGTAGCAGTCATAACAAACAACGACTGCCCTCTGTAAAAGCACTGTGTTATGCATCTTTTGAAGTACTGCTTTTAGTAGGAAAATGTGGACATAAACAACGATTTTTCTCCCAGTTCACCTGCTGATCAGAAATATCTGGTGCCCACATCAGCCAGCTGCGCCATGAGCTGGCCGCCTGTTGGGACGATGATGTGCACTTGTGCCTAATTATCCTCTCAATATCTGGCTCTGGCTTGGAAGCAACAAGTAAATTAACCACTAGACTGAAACATCAGGACACACATCTGTGCAGAGCAAAGCTGAGGTTTTTTCCTGGGAGTCAGAAATTTATTTTTATGGCTGAAATATTTTGCATATTAGTTTATAATAATAATATTACTATTACTAATAATAACAATAACAACAACAACAACAATAATAATAATAATAATAACAATAATAATAAATCATATTATTAATAGTGGTAAAAAATAATAATTTTAACAATAATTATAATATTAATAATAGGAATCTAATGCTATTTATCAAATTAAACTGTTTTTTTTTCACTGAAGAGTCTACCATTAATCAGAAAATCTCAGTATCAGTATTCAGTTTTTTCGTGACACAACTTTTACATTACATGCACATATTACACATCAAACTCTTTAGCTACTTCTCCTCTCTCTCAAAATGTCAAATTTAGGGATGCTCGATATTGGCTTTTTAACCAATATTTGATATTGTATAACTCTTTATTTCCAGTGCCTTCCTAAACCGATACTGATATACAGGTCCTTCTCAAAAAATGTGCATATTGTGATAAAGTTCATTATTATCTGTAATGTACTAATAAACATTAGATTTTCATATATATTAGATTCATTACACACAACTGAAGTAGCTCAAGCCTTTTATTGTTTCTAATATTGGAACTTCTGGCAGAGTCTCCTGTCACAAGGAGCTTCAATTCCCACCACCGATAGAACTTCCAAAATGTTCGGGGGGGGGGGGGGGGGGGGGGGGGGGGGGGGGGTGACTGACTCTGAATGGACCCTGTTCCATGCCTCCATTGTTGAGGCGGCCGACCGGAGCTGTGATCGCAGGATCGTCGGTGCCTGTCGTGGTGGCAACCCCTGAACCCGCTGGTGGACACAGGCGGTTAGGGAAGCTGTCAAGCTGAAGAAAGAGTCTATCAGGTCTTTTTGGCCTGTGGGACTCCAGAGGCAGCTGACGGGTACTGGCAGTCCAAGCGGAACGCGGCTCGGGAGGTCGCCAAGGCAAAAACCCGGGCATGGGAGGAGTTTGGTGAGACCATGGGGCAAGACTTCCGTACGACTTCAAGGAGATTCTGGTCCACCATCCGGCGCCTCGGGGGTGGGGTGGGGGGTGGGGGGGGTGGGGGGGTTGGGGGGCAGTACGCTACCAACACTGTCTATAGTGGGGACGGTGTGTTGCTGACCTCTACTCAGGACGTGTGGATGGGTGACCAGAATACTCCGAAGACCTCCTCAATCCCATCAACACGTCTTCCAATGAAGAAGCGGAGTCTGGGGACTTTGGGTTGGCCTCTCAAATCTCTGGTGCTGAGGTCACTGAGGTGGTTAAAAAGCTCCTCTGTGGCAAGGCTCCAGGGGTGGATGAGATCTGCCTGGAGTTCCTTAAGGCTCTGGATGTTGTGGGGCTGTGTTGGCTGACACGGCTCTGCAATATCGCGTGGGCATCGAGGACAGTCCCACTGGACTGGCAGACCGGGTTTGTGATCCCCTTATTTAAAAAGGGGGACCACAAGGTGTGTTCCAACTACAGGGGGATCACACTCCTGAGCCTTCCTGGTAAGGTCTATTCAGGGGTTCGGGAGAGGAGGGTCCGTCGGATTGTTGAACCTCAGATTCAGGAGGAGCAATGTGGTTTTCGTCCTGGCCGTGGAACACTGGACCAGCTCTATACCCTTAGGGGGATCCTGGAGGGTGTGTGGGAATTTGCCCAACCAGTCTACATGTGTTTTGTGGATTTGGAGAAGGCGTTTTACCACGTCCCTCGGGGGGGCCCTGTGGGGGGTACTCCGGGAGTATGGGGTAACAGGCCCTCTGATACGGGCTGTTAGGTCCCTGTATGACTGGTGTCAGAGCTTGATCCGCATTGCCGGCAGTAAGTCGGGCTCGTTCCCAGTGAGAGTTGGACTCCGCTATAGCTGCCCTTTGTCACTGATTCTGTTCATAACCTTTATGGACAGGATTTCTAGATCTGAGGTAAAGTTTTTGAGATATTTTTGTTTATTTGACACAACCTTTGAAGTAGAAATGTTCTCTGTATAGTGAACCTATGCTGTCCTCACAGCATGTAGCTATGTGTAGCCAAAAGCAAGAATCTTCACCCAAGGCTTTCTTTTCTTATCAGAAGATCTTCATAAATGATCATCAATGTAACTGCAATACAGTATACAGAAAATAAAATACATGACTCGGTAATAAACACATCTTAGAGTCACACTTTGGAAGAAGATACGGTTTGCACAAAACATGCTTAAAGTTTATGCATGTTTGATAAGATAAATGTGATGTTAGCAATCTAAAATGTTTTAGTTTTCCTTTTATTATGAGAGGCGGACACAGCATGTATCGGTATTGATTTCTGTCGGTTTTGGTAATTAAGAGTCAGACAATATCGGTTAAATAACCCAACATCGAGCCTCCCTTCTGGAAAGTTAAACATATAAAACAAAAAAAAACCTTCAAAGAGCTTGTGTCACCTGTCAAGGTTGAGTTTGTGGGCGAGCATTCTCCAGTCATTGCCTCTGGTCTGCGGTGCATCTAGACTGCCACACAACTTCTGTCTGATGGATAAGGGAATACGAAAGGCGTTAGGCCCCGTTAAGGTTGTGATATTGCTGGCAGGGTCCATCAGAGATGTGTCTATGCACTGGAGCTCCTGGAAAAACAGGAAAATTACATTAAACACTTGGTGTTGTAACAGAATGAAATTACTGTTTTCCACATAAAAGTCATTTCCCCCTCTCCTTAGCAAGAACTAATCTGCATGATATATTGTTCAAGGTTTCTGCTTCTAAACTGTTTCCTTTCCAGCCCAAGAGAAGAATGAAGACAAAGGACTCTTTCTTTTTAATAAATCAAAGAACTATTTTTAATAAGCTAATCAAACAAAGTGTTAGTCAATAATAAAATGTGAACCAATTTGTGAAATGAAAATATTAATTACTTGGTATTATATCCTATAGAATATAATAAGAAATATAACTTTAAATGTTTCCACTTGAGACTGATTACACGTAACGTTAAGTCACATCACACATTGCTTTTACTGATCCAATCAGAATCTTCCAGATCTGACAGAGGCGTGGTTTTGGTGGTGCTTGGTAAATCTGTCCTCTTTTCATTCGACCGTAAATCAAAACACCCAAATTATAAAACTATGCCCACGTCATCTTTAACGCCAGTTCAAAGCTTTCTAGAGAAGTTGTCGGAGTGGCCAATCCGTAACTTTCCTCTTAGCCGAAAGAACCAACAACAAGCTGGATAAATCTGTTGCACTTTACCAACCAAGCAACGGTTCCTTTCAGAATAAAAGCTGAAGCATCACGACCCCGTTTTGGGTCTTGTTAGATGCCAATAAACTGTCGTGACCCGGAAGTATCTCAAGACTGGTTTGAGTCAGCAACCGCTGCTTTTCCTACCGGCTTCGGTTCCAGAGAGGGTCAAGCTGGACCTCGACATTCCTGATCTAACGGGAACTTCCGAAAGGGTACGTAGGCTGGCAGAATGGCGTCTTAATGTGTGTTATAAATCTCCAACCCAAAGCTTAGCGCAAAAACATCATCTTCACTCCCATCAGAACTAATCGTTTCTCCGGATTTGCTGATTCTGAACAACATTCCACATCACACCATTCTCCGTCTCACTTCACCTTAGTTACACCATACATTTAGTGTTTAAAGTTAGTCTAGTTTTAATTTGTTTAGTAATAAATCTTTAAACTTTTAAAACTTGACTCTTTCTTTTGTCTCTGAGTTAATACGAAGTGTTACTTAATCCATGCACTAAAAAGTTCCAATCTTCTGGTTAAAAGTACCCAAAGATCCATAAGATTGATCTCGTATTTTCTATGGAATCTCATGTCTTATGGTTCATTAAATAACATGTAAAATTCATTGTTACAGTGTTTTGATCTAAAAGTCATTAAATGAGGAAAATCTTAAATTCCTAAAGCATAGACTTAAGGACCTTCATGTTCAAGAGACCATTAATCCTTTTGCTCATCTCATCTGTCTCTGACTTTGTTGTGACCAACACACAAAAGTCTCAATCAATGGAAGAGTGAAACAAACAGAAAAATCCACTACCAAGCCCGCACTCTCCCCCAGCTGTCGAACTCCATCTCTTTCTAAACCTTCACATTATTCTGCCACTCCGGAGCTGAAAGGAGGGTGCAGACTAATGAACGTGGCTTGGCAGAGGGAAACGACAACTGCCACCGTTGATGTGAATAAGAACTATTTACTACATCCACTTAGACCTAATTTACAGCTGAAAAATCTCTGCAACCGGAGGTTGAGTGATTGATGCAAAGGGACGCTTCTGAGTCCCTGCTGAAATGATAAATGCCTTAAAGATCCTTTCAAATCTTGTTTTTGTTCACTATTTGATTGCACTATGGGGTTGAGAGGTACTTTAATGTTTTCCACACACAACTGATGTGTTGATTTTTGGGGAGGGGGCTTCAGCACTTGCATTAGTTTAAATGCATATAACAAAGTTGTTGGATAAAATAATGTGATTAAAGCAAATATATTGCAAATAAACTGCAGATTTAAAATGTTTTCAATGGACTAAACATAACGAAAGGACGAAAATATGGAAATTCACCATGTATACATGTTCTAAGTAACTCACTGAGCAATAAAACAGAGGTCTGGTCCGGCAAAATGACAAACACATCAGACTCCCGTTCATCACTGGCAACAAGTGAACAAGTAACAAATCAGTAAATGCGTGTTGTCCAGGGGCGGCGTTAGGCCCGGCTACTTGGGCTGAAGCCCCGAATCTTTAATGAATAGCCCCGGATCTCAAACGGGGAAGTAGCATGCAGTACCAAAGTCCAACAGAGAGGGAGCAGCTAGCAGTAGTTTGTATACAGCCCGCCTGAGCCTCCACCACTGAAGAAGAAGCCCTTCAGCAGCCGGCTTCTTCTGCAGTGCCTGTTTTTTTTCTATACTCTGCCTGCAACGCATGTGTGAAGATGGACATAAGGACGTTTTTTAGACCAAAAGGACCGCGACAGAACCCCAGCTTTGATGATACTGGTGTTGACTCAGGTTTGTGAGTCTTATTTGAAATATTTGTTGTGCTGCTGGTTTGCCTAAAGTTAGCTTACTATCAGGTAAAGTTGTTGGAGAAAGAAAGGGAATATTTACTATCATCTCACAATAAACACAAACAGGAACAATATTCTGCCCTGAATATGCTTAATATGTAACTTCAGATTAAAAATTATGTGGTACAAGACAAATATATATTTTGACTAGTGCGTGTCACGTGTGTGTGCGTGTGTGCGTGTGTGTGCGTGCGCGTGTGTGTGTTAAGCCCCAGATCTTCTCCAGTCCTTAATCCGCCGCTGGTGTTGTCCTCACGTAGAAGGAAACAGCGTGTCTAATATGGTGTCGCCCAGAGACTTAGACCCACTCCCATGTATTTAAGCCCTTATTTTTATGGTTACATGTTACAAAACTTCCAATATTTTTCAACACCTGGGCATCATTTAATTCATTTTCAACATTTCGATGGATATTTCAAGAGATTAATGATAAAAACTATTTGTCTTTAAAAAAACTAAACTCATCACAAAACCTAATAATTTTTTACAGCCAAAAATATGACTTCCAACACAGGTAATTAAATTAGTTTAGAAATACCTGAAGTAACCAAGAAGGAAGATGTTTGATGCTTTCTTTACTTGTTAGATTCAGTACCTTATATGAATTTGACCCAACATGTAAGGTATGGTGTGCAGACAGAAGACTGTCCTTGCCAGGGGGAAGATTTTTGACCTCCAAGCTGAGGGAACACATTTTGCAGCAGGAAAGGGAGAGTACTCCATCTACTTGCACCTCCACCACTACCAACGCTGTTTTACCACAGCTGCTACAACTAATCTCAACTCCTATTGTTGTGTACTAGTGCCTCAATTACTCTAGCAGGTGTTGCTGGCACTGTATTACGCTCAGCTAATGGACCTGCTGGTACTGAGGGTGGAACAAGAGACTGACCAATTCAGGAAGACAAGGCTGTATGAGTCCACTGAACTGCTCACTTGCTCATTTTTCTGTATTTTCTATGTTAGGGAAGGCATCAGGTTGGAGTCTATTTCAGAAACAGTAAGTCTTCAACTGTTAGAAACTTTAAAGTTGCAAAAAGTAAAAATTATATGAAATAATCACAAAACAGTCTAATGTCTCTGAACATCGTAGGTGTGTTCTTGCTGTGTCGTTTCTCTAATTCCATGCTGTAGTTCTTTTTAAAAACACAGAGCAGTTCTGTTTACCTGTTTTTCCGCTACGTTTCGTTTGTGGCTGCAAACTTCCTCAGGCTGACGCTGATGGTGGCGTCACTTCCTTCTCCGTTTATCCAAACAAGAGAAATACAAAAGATGGATAAAAGAAGCAATCGAGATGAGGAGACGTGGATGTGGGACCATGATCAGGGACGATGGAGTTTACACGTTGGACCGCGCATGGGACTGCATCGCCGGAGAGGGGAGAGCGGGCAGTAGAGGGCAACAACGTCCTCTGCTGCCCGCCGATAAACGGAGAAGGAAGTGATGCCACCATCAGCATCAGCCTGAGGAAGTTTGCATCCGCAAACGAAACGTAGCGGGAAAACAGGTAAACAGAACTGCTCTGTGTTTTAAAAAAGAACTACAGCATGGACTTAGTCTAATGTCTCATTCGTGTAGGAAGAAAGGTTACATTGAAACTAGGGATGGGTACCGAATTCGGTACTTTTTAAGGTACCGACCGAATTCCATAGTACCGACCGAGCACCAATTCACTTCATTTGAAACGGTGCCTCGTTTCGGTACCCGTCCTTCACAACGAGAACTTGCCTGGACAGCTGCGCATGCGCAAGAGCGTTAAGTCATCAGTCGCTGCGAGTGAGATGTAAACAGAGCAGCATGGTAGAAAGAACGCACGCTAAAGCTTGGGTCCACTTCACTAAATGTGATGGGTAACTGGGTGATGATGAAACCAGCGACAACGATCTAAGTGAGACATCCTCATCTTAATCTGCTCCGGTAGGTAAATAAAATGTAAGATAACGTTAGCTTGATTTGTTAGCTTCCCCTTCACTAATGGTGCGTTCGCTTTCTCCTCAGAACTCCGAAATTCCGACTAGAAGAACACGAACACGCACTAAAGTTTGGCTTTACTTTACTAAATGCGACAGGTGATTGGGTGAAGATGAAACCAGCGACAACGACCTAAGTGTGAGGCATCATCGTTTTAATCTGCTCCAGCAGTTAAATAAACTGTTTAAGATAACGTTAGCTTGATAAGTTAGCTTCCATTGCCACCATTGTTATCAGCTAATGGTGCTTTCGCTTTCTCCTCGGAAATTCTAACTTCCCAGTAGGAAAAATCAATTGAAAAAGGACGGCAAAAGGAATGAAGATACACAGTAAATTTAGTTCACAGTAAAGATGTTTGCTTCAGTTTAATTATCAGCTTATAAAACTACAAGGACGATGTTAAAATACAAACAGTTGAATGTTATTTATCGTTATATTTATCAAATATGGTTATATATTGAGAAAAATATATATCTAATTATAAAAGAGAATAAAAATATTAAACACTCAAAAGTATCGAAAATTGGTACCGTTAAGTACCGGTATCGATTCCTAGGTACCGGGAATTAGTACCGGATCGATTCAAATGTCAAAGGTACCCATCCCTAATTGAAACAGATTTTCTTCTCAGGCAGCTGCAGGGTTGTCAGTTATAGGCTGAAGAGGGACTTGGTTTACAATCTGTCTCGACTCCATACTTCCTGGTTTTAGAACCAAGCATATTTAAGCCTGCAGGAAAGGCTGCCAACTCTCACGCACTGAGCGTGAGACACACACATTTGACCTTCTTCACACGCTCTCACGCCACAACTCCAATCTCTCATGCTAAACCAGCGCCTGTGCTCTCCAAATTCACATCACGCGCTGCGTAGGGCTTACGAAAAAAACAAACAAACATGATATTAATTATAAATGATAAATGATAAATGACCCGCACTTGTATAGCGCCTCTCAGAGTAAGGACTCCAAAGCGCTTTACACTACAGTGTATCATTCATCCGTTCACACATTCATACACTGGTGGGGATGAGCTACGATGTAGCCACAGCTGCCCTGGACTGACAGAGGCGAGGCTGCCGAGCACAGGCGCCACCGGACCCTCCGACCACCACCAGCAGGCAACGTGGGTTAAGTGTCTTGCCCAAGGACACAACAGCAGAATTCTCTGTCCGGAGCTGGGATCGAACCTGCAACCTTCCGATTACTAGACAACCCGCTCAACCTGTTGAGCTACTGCTGCCCACATAGCAGCTTATAGCATTAGCTACTGAACAACATGCACACAAACAACACTTAAGTAATAATTTAACTGGCGTTATTTCACACATAATCCCATCTGTCTAATCCAAGCCGATGGGATTTTTCCGCTCTGGTTGTGAGATGGGCGGAGCGGTGAGCTCCACCTGCTGTTGATGGGACGGGCATGCCCGGTTCTTTCTCCTAGAACCGCGAGCTGCTCAGAGTGGACTGGTTTGTTTTTGTATATAGAGAATGCAGTACCCATATTTGACCACAGGATGTCCTTATTTCATGCACCTTTCAATATTTTGCATTAACCTTTGCTTTGCGGTTCTTTAGCATTCACCCATGAAAGCCAGTGCCGGGTCTTTTACTGGATCATAAGAAAGTTTAAAAAAAATTAGCACACTTCTTGATCAACAACTTCTGAACCTCATTAGACGTTTACTTAAATGTACAAGTTGTACAGAAATGTATCCAATTATCAAAGATAGATGAAATATATAAAAAGTAGGCTAAAAGCGAAGGCGTACAACGAGCCACACGGATGCCAAGACAGTGCCAAAAAGAGTGAGCTTAATATCAAAGATCTGAATATGTGGACTAAATAAGCAAATCAAAGTGATCATAGACACGCGTTTCTGACTGAAGAACATCTCAAACACAGTTTTTGTAATTTGCTCATTAACCCATTTTTTTAGGAAAACTAAAAAAGACATGTAACCTTTCCACTTTTCTCTCATAAAAAATCAAATCTACTCTTCCAACTTCTTTGTTCAGAAATGCAAATGTGAATAAAGTACAGCATGTTTCCCTTGCAGAATGAGAGATTTGCATGCACATTCCTCACCTCCTCCAATGTACTGCCGAGCTGAAAGATTTGTCCTTCCCCCTCTACCTGCCGCACACACAGTTTGCAGCTGATCTCTGTGATGGCTGAGTTCAGTCTCTCCAGAGTGAAGGTGCAGTGAAGAGTCCTCTGACTCCCACTCCACACTTGGTAGAATGGGATCTCCTGGAGGGAGGAAAAATCAACACATTTTAGGACACACCAGTTTTCAAGTAGTTGTATTAGCTGACCTGAGAGTGATGCACCTGCACATGTGTGTTTATTTCTCTCTCACCTGATACTTTGCAAGGAGCTTGCTCTTCCAGTGTGTGTGCGGCACATCGTGGATAGACAGTCTCAGATTGTGTGTGCTGTCTTTGAAGTTCAGAGTCTTTGGCTCATCCAGAAGCTTCCCTCCCATTTGGGTTTCCATCTGAAGAACCTCCTACACAGAACATCCCAGTAAAGGGTGAAAAAAAATATAAAAGTAAAAACCAGAATATTAAACCTTCGGAACTGCTAGGCAAGACTGCTTATGCTCAAGCGTGAGTCATTTCAGACTCGCTATCTGGCATAATTACTTCTGACAAACACAAATGTTCAAACACAAAATATAATTAAGATATCATCCCACATTGGCTTATTATGACCTGGTTTTCAACTCAGCTCCTCAGCACTGAGCGAAAGACGAAAAAACACTGACATGTTCAATGAAGAACTGCTCCACGGGTCAGTGTAAGGGTTCCAAATACAGAAAGCATAACGAGTCACAGTTGTTTCTGCCAGATGGCTACTAATTATTTGTAGTTTTATGTTTTGATAATGACTCTACGGGCACTGAAAAGTCCCATAAAGAACATAAACAAACACTGGTACAGTACAGAAAGGATTCAAACTGGATGGATACAACAAACAAATGCATGGATTAGGGTTTCTGCAGTGATCCGGTACACATCCACTGGAGCTGACAGTAAAGAAATACGGAAATTGAATTTTTTTTTGACAAAACGGATTCACTTTGATAACTATTTTACATGTTCAGTGCTTACTGTGAGGATTGGAGAGCTAATGTCTAAGAGTCTTTAGTGTTTCATTTTTATCTCGCTAAAGATAGATTTTTCCTCATTTTAAACAAATTTCCTGTGACCTTAGTATAAATTATTACCTTGTTGTCACATTCAGTGGAAAAAACCTCTGGCACTCCCGTTTCAGGGAGTATAAATTAGTCATGGGGCAGAAAACAACTTCATTCAAGATATTTAAATGTCTCGCCTCTGATTGGCTAACAGCAATGTGACTCTTCCGCAGTCTCTGTCTCTTCTTTCTTAAGCAAAAAAACAAAACAAACATTTCCACAGATAACACAAGCCTGACCTTATTCCACCTTTTTGTGGAGCTGCTATCGCTAACGATTAGCTTCTACAACCTGAGATGTGCTCTGCTCTTTCCTGGCCATTAAACCAACATTAGACTTCTTTGCAAGCCAAGATGGGTGAGTCCATGAATGCATATTTTAAGGTGTGATCTAGATCAGTGTGGCTTTTCCTAACTCAAGCATTTCCCATGTTTTCTTCAGGCAGCTAATGCAGGAAAAAGGAATAGAAGTCTACTTTCACCATCTGCACGAACGTAAAACTTGCGCAACATATTGTGTTGTATATTAGTATTTTATATTTCTTGAATATCATATTTCACAATAAAGCGCCACGGTATTGTGGTATTAAATTGAACCAATACCGCTAAGCCCTAATTTGCAGCACTGTAATTTTTGTCGATGAAGAGAGTTCTCATTTTTTGCCAAGTTTACATAGAAATGCTTTCATTTACTAAATACAAACCAACGAGAAATGTAGAATAAGACTAGTATTTAGACACTTCTGCGTACATTAAATCAAATATTTGTTGACGTAACACACAGACATGCATAATTGATCAAATAAAACACTCAGACATAAGTTTATAGTTTGACTCTTTATGCCTCCTTTTCTTTTACTGATCAACTCCAGCAGCTCAGACTTGAGTTATCTTACAAAGTTTCCATCATTAAAAGTTCACCTTTGAACTTTCAGTTCAAGCCGCAACTGTTTGCTCGAACTGTTGAAACCACGCTGATGTTTATGCGATTATGTGCATGGCTGTGCGCCACGCTGACTCTTGACTTCTCACCGCGAGAATAAATTACCAATGTTAATCTCCCGTATCAGATGGTCCCTCCAGTGCTTTGAATTTGTTTAAATTCTAATGTTGACATTGCTTGACCCTGTTTTGTTTACTGCATCTCAGCACATCTCAAGAAGACTAGAGGTGAAGATACTTCTGTTTATGACTTCACACAATCCATCCCCGCTCGAGCTGCGAAACAACATATTTCTAATGCAAATGATCAGAAAAAGATATTAGTATGGGTGGTACAAAGGAGAACCGAGTCCCTCACAGGACTGAAGAACGTACTCAAAACAAAAACATCACACATCCTTGCTGATCTTCAAGGCATCCTGAAAAACTTTTCAAAGTTACACATACAATGGATGCATGCTGCTTTCAATTGAGCTTTTACAGAAGCTGCACGGTGACCGGTTTTCTTCAGTGGTTTTACCTTAAGTGCATCCTGAGTGTCGTCCAGGCAGTAGATCCTGATGTGATAATCGAGAGTGGTGCAGGAGACCGGCCCAAAAACGGCAAGCTTTAGCCTCTTTGCAGCTGCTTTGCCGATCGACTGGCCCACCAGGCAGTACGTACCCAGTGTTTCTGTCAGAATGTGACATGCCTCCGACTCCATCTGCACGTAGCAGGGTGTGGCGAAGTTTTCCTCTCCCACCACAACTACATCCTGTACACACACACACACACGCACACACACACACACACACACACACACACACACACACACACACACACACACACACACACACACACACACACACACACACACACACACACACACACACACACACACACACTTGGGTAAAACATATATTTAGGCTATCATATTGCAGGTTCCCTATCATAGTTGTTGGTGGCAAAGAAACCCAAAATGTACCGTACATAAAAGTTCTATATCATGCAAAATCCAACATTTAGGTGTTGACAATGTTATATTGTTACAACAACATCCCCAAAGTGTTTATTTTTTTGGCTCTGACACATGCATTTTCCTGTCTCCGCTGCACTGTTGCCCCGCTCCTCCCCATCCCGGTAGTTTTTGAGCTCAGATCCATCCTCCCCTGGACTGTAAACAGTAACACCCAGTCTTTCTGTGTACCTAGCAGGAAGTTTATTTTCACAGCTGGGAAAAATATTTATTTTTCTTATCTAGTCTGCACTTTAAAAATACCTAGAACCCCAAAAATGGATGTTTGGCTGCAAGAGGAACAAGATCACAGTTTAGTCTTCCTGTACAATCAGCAGAAATGGTTGGTTTTTATCTTCAGGAGCTCTTAAAACCAAGCCAGAATGAACCGTGATTTCACAGACTGCTTGTTAAACCACCACCGGTACTGAAGTAGGTTCTCAGATCGATTATTTCTTCAAACCGGCGCTATTCCAGTGTTAAAACTACTCAATGGATAGGTCAGAGTGGTAAGTAAAACCAAAAGGCTAACTGCTAGCTAAATTATTATAAAGTTCAGGGATGGACTGGGACAGGCAAACAATCTGCTGCCATCTCATCTGGCTTTTCTCCGTTCGTGTGGTGTGTGTGCATGCTCACAGCTTGACGAGAGGCAAGCGTGAATCTGTGGTCTCCGGGTCTGCAGCTGTGTATTATTGTGGAATTCACCCGGGGGAGGCAGGGTTTGACTGAATTCAAGTGTTTTGTTTCCAGTTTGAAAGGATTGGTAAAAAAAATAACTTTTTCATTAAAAACTTACATGATTATAGGAGTGTTTTAGTGATCAATAAAGAGATAAAAGTTTAGCTAGTCAGTTAGTCAGTTTAGAGAGAATCTCATTCATGTTCCCTGTCCTTTATTTGTACGTTCATTTGACCAAACAAACACAGCTTTTGTTAAAACCTGGGTGTTGTTTGAATGGGCTTTATTTGTGAGTCCACAGGCTTCATAGGCTTTATTCTATCAGCAAACATCACACAAGTGGACCTGCTTTTGGAGCCCATCCCAGTAACATAAACAACCTGACAGTAAACAAATCTGTGGTTCATGCCAGATGAACTCAGATCATGCAAACATGTTTTTTTGAATCTTATTAGTGTTTTTTTCCAGATATATGTAGTTTTTAAACAAGTAATTCCTTCAAAGAAAAGTATGGAAACCTGTAAACTTGTGTCTGAAAGCACATCAAGACATTTATTAGGAGAACAATAACAAATTTGCCCAGTCTCAGAGCAATAATCTGCAGGCAGTTGTTCGTGTCCCTGGAACTGACCCGGTTATGGTAAATCCATATGGCGTTTTGGGCTCCTTGGAGACATGCGGCCTCATCAGGTTCGTTTTATCAGATTTCAGCTTCGTTAGCTGGGTGCGCTGAAATTATTGGGAATCTGTGGCTGCAGGTGTCGACACACTGCGGAATCAATGTTCTACATGCACGCGCGGGATCAAAATATCGAGTTTTGATTGCCAGTTCATGAGGAGTTCTGTTCCCACAGATGAGCTGAATCAGTACAAAGAGATAGGAAAGCAATATGGTCTGAATCTGTTATTACTGGTAATCACAACCGTGGCTGCTCCTCCCGATATGAGGGGGATTCAATTACCTCCCGCCGACTGTTTTCTTTTCTTTTTTTCTGGGAGGGGGGGCTTTCTGATGGCAAATGAATGTTCTACAGCAATGAGAGAAAAACAAATCGACTTCATGATGAAATTTCCCTTTTCATTTTTCTCATCTGTATTCACTCGAACCCTGTTCATGTGCATCTCTCTCTCTCTCTCTCTCTCTCTCTCTCTCTCTTACACACACACACACACACACACACACACACACACACACACACACACACACACACACACACACACACACACACACACACACACACACACACACACACACACACACACACACACCCCTATGCATGGCTAATTGTGCAGAGACATTGTGTTGAGCTGTGATAAGCAACAGAAGACAGCATACGGGGGTCTTGTTGACACAGTGATGCTGCAAGACAGCCTTATCACCTACGCCCACACACACACACACACACACACACACACACACACACACACACACACACACACACACACACACACACACACGTGTTCACACATGCAATCGCTGTCATGCACACATGAAACAGATTGCTGAGGTTGAGACATCATGCTGAGAAACACGGGAAGAGAAGGAAGAGAAGGGTAGAGAAAAGGGATTGATAGAAATAGGAGACAAGAGATGAGAGGAGAGAAGGATAGCAGGAGCATAACAAATTGCCTCTGATAGGAGTCTTCAACCCCCTGCTTGTCTGCTAGCCTGTAGACACTTTCTATTTACCACATTTTCTCTTCTTTTCTTTGTTTTCTTCCCCCTTCTTGCCCACATACCAACAGTCTCCGTGTGATTCTGGTGATTCTTCTTTAAGTGTGTATATACGATGTGTGCACACTGTGTTTTTGAACACATTTTAATTATTTGGCTGACGGTGGGTGCAGCTGTGCCGTTCTGACTTCCCTTTATGTGGATTATTTTGCTGCATGGATCTATTTATGAATCTAAATGCGCTGCATAAAGAGAAAACATTAAAGCACATTTGCAGCAAGGTAAAAAGCTCTGTGCACACAAACATGATCCGCTGCTGAGCACTCACCTCCCACTCTCTCATGGCCAGTTGGTTCTTGAGCTGTATGAACCAGTCTTCCTGGACATTGTATGCACAGTGGTGGATGGTGAGGATCACTGGTCTGGTCAGCAGGGCTCCTGGAGGTCCACAACTCACCACTGGGCTAAGAACCGTCTGAATGTCTTCTACCGGGGGTCTGAAGAAGACAGACAACGCTGAACCGTTTTTGTCAGCTTTAGTTGCAAAATGCTGAGTTGGTTTGTGCTATAATCAAGCACTGTCCAACTCAAAAAAATGGATTTTGATTGTAATCTCGTTCACTCATCTGTTGAAAACGTAATAGAAATGTGTGATAGACTTAAAAATATGTCTTCTGACTATTTGTTTTACATGCGTGCGCCCGGTTTTCACGGCAGGATAATCATGCCGATTTGTGACATGCTCCTTCCCTTCTGATACTCTTAAAATTGTGCATGATTAGCATACCAGTTCTAAAGATAATCTTATCAGATAGTCCTACCATGTGTGGTGTGTTACAAGCTCTGGTCTGCTTTGAAAGACGTTGGGACTAGTCCGATCATAAATCTGGGCTTTTAAACATGTTGGATTGTCTTGGTCTGATTTACGTGGCAAACCAACGTGCTGATGCGTAGGCAATCAGAAAGCGAGGTGATGCCATGTCTATTTACTTTGAAACCATGTTTTAGATTGCAAGATTTCTCCTCTGAGTGGGGAATGTATGTGAGTGAAAGTGGTTCATGTGTAGTGTCTAGAGTTTGCTGTACACACTGTGTGACCAAAACTGGTGCACTTTTTATCACCACATAAGTGGTCTCTCAGAATTTCTCTACTAATGTGTAGATTTTACTACTCACGTCTGGAAATATCAATAAAATGTTGAAAATGAATAAAATGATGTCCAGTTGTTGAAAAATATTGAATGGATTTGCAACATATAACCTTAAAAATCAGGTCTAAAGTAAATAGGGCGTGGATCTAGCGTCTTTGGGGGACGCCATATTAGACGCCAGGGTTCCTTCTGGATGGCTCAAGGTCCTGTGCCTGTTGATGGTGACTAGATGATTGGCTGAACGTGCGACTTACGGAACTTACATTACACTTTCAAAAGCATTTAGGCGGTGAGAAACACAGATTTAATAACAAAACTGCTAAACTCTTTTCAAAACATTCAGAATCACAAACATATTTTGGCTGAGCGGTATTACCGTAGTATGATGATGTCATCTGCAGGCACACGACCTCGAGGCAGAAAACTACAATCAGCATCGCATTCTCTCAATGGAATTAACCGAAGGATCATCAAAGTCTGAGTAGTCACGGTGCAGTTTCATGCTTTCTGCTCCACAGGTAACATTTACCGTAATGTTTTTGTAAACTAGCGACAGTCACGGCAATATGGTGTAAAACTACCCTGAAGTGTATGTACTCGACACAACATCACGTTATCGGCCATGTTACCATTACCTGCCATTTTTTATAGCTGAAAGTTTTATTCTAGTTTTATTCTATTTTTAATCTTATTATTATTCATGTTATATGTAGCACATTAGTACCAAAGCAAGTTCCTAGTTTGTGAATTGTTTGTTCACTGACAATGGCAATAAACCTATTCTGATTCTGATGTACTGCCCCCTAGTGTCAGCAAATTACACACTGCTGGAAGACTGAAAACATATAAAAAATCCATGATTGCAGATGCAAACCACCTAGGATGTCAGGAAAAGTGGGAAAAGGCTGCATTTTAATGCTTTAGGTGAAATTACTGTGAAATAACTGCTGAATAAGGAAATGAAATGATTTTTTGTCATCTGAATTGTTGTCTATATGTACCTCTCTCCCACAGCTATGTTGTCCAACTACAGCCACTTATAATGAAACTTGTAAAGAGCAGCAAACACAAGTTTGGTGATAGTGGGAGAGAGCGTATCTTTCTATAAACGAGAACATTAAAGAACCGAGCCAGCCGGAGCAGCTGCAGAGGAGGAAGAGGGCAGTCAGCAGCAACTGGACTCTAGTTTGTGGCTAAAAGGCAGAAAGAAAAAAGTTCTGACTCTTTTGCTTTTATGGTACATCCGGGCATTGGAACCTCAAGCACTTATCAACTAATGGGCTCTATGTAACAGAACAGCAAAATAATATTGGATCTCCTTTACTGGGAAACAAGTGAAGCTATGCAGGTTGAAATCCATTTGTATTCATTATTTAGAGCCCGTCTGCTATTAGTAAACCTAAAAACACGAGTCTTATACCTCATGAGAACTTAAAAATAAGGGCTGGATGATATATAACCACTGTGACTGCAGTAGCACAAACCGAGCTTTGAGATTTACAATTATTTAACTGATCCGTTCCAATTTTTTTTCTCTTTATTTGCTTCATTCAAAGTGTTTAAAAAATACACACACATATATATATATATATATATATATATATATATATATATATATGTGTGTGTGTGTGTGTGTGTGTGTGTATATATAAATACAAACAACAACAAAAAAGCATACATAAACATGAACACCAAACAATTAGAATGAAAAGGGGCAGAAGGAAGAAATATCTGATATTATCTGCCCCTATTTACAAACCAAACTTTTAAATAATGCTTCCATACAATTCTCAATAAACAACAAAACAAAACAAAACAAAACAAAACACAGATTCATTTTATAATCTTGTAACTTACAGACCTAATCAGACACCAACTGATTTTAGGTTATTGTAGTTCTGTAATACACTTGATTTGATACATTTTTTAAATATATATAGACAAGAGTGTGATCTGTAATTTGAATCTATTATAGAATGGTTTTTTATATGTATTTTTTGCTATTGTGAATCCCGACTAGTATCACACTCTTGTCTATTCTGTTTTGTATTGTTTGAGGTCATCAATGCTTCTGATTTGTACACCATTAGTTCCTTCTTTTTCTCTTATCCATACCCTGCAGTTCCAGACCCATGTAACCAGGGCTGGACTGGGACAAAAATTCAGCCCGGGCATTTTGATTGGAGACCGGCCCATCACCTGGGTTTTTGGAAAAGACATTAAGCCTTACGCTGTTTCTGACACACACCAACGTACACTTTCTTATTGGTAATATTTATGTATCAATCTAATAAACGTAAACCTACACCATCCTTCCTATCCTGGTATTCTAAAAAGTAGGGTTGGGGGCAAATGATTATTTTTAAAGTGATTATTCTGACGATTATTTTATCGAATAGTCAACTATTCTAATGACTATTTAGATGATTAATTTAGCGATTATTTTTCTATTGCACAATTAATAAAAACCAAAAAATCTCAAATAAATTCCTCCAAAAAATTGATAAGTTGTTACTGTAAGAGAATAAACACTACAGGCCTTTCCATTTTGTATAACACTGCTTTTATTGTGTTGCGGTTGTTTATATTCTGGTGACGTGTAGATCATGCAAGCTGCTGCCTGAGAGGTGGTTGGAGACGGAGTGTCTCCATGCTGCTTTGTTTTGGTCACTTATGTGCATGAGGCAAGTGGTGTTACGACCCTTCCTGGGGAGTCACGTGTAAAGGGTTAAATTTACCTAAATATTACCTTATTTATTATCTCTTGATGTTATTAGTCCCTATTTCTGTGGTTAATTGACAATAGTTTCCTGAAATGTTTCTCCTATTTTAACTGTAAATCCTTCTAGCTGTTATATTTATAACAAGAAACAGATATTCGGACGGAATATTTTCATGTTTATTCGAATATGATTGTGGAACACACCCAGCATCATAATAAATGAAGTCATATTTATGCCAATTTAAGCCTTTATGGGTGACCAGGACACTGTAATCAATTTTTGGCAAGGGAAATTATCTTTTTTTTTTTGCCATTTTTGGGGTGTTTATGATGATACAGTAGACAGTATGAGTACAGTAACATCAACAGATAATACATAAAACCCTTATTTGGTCAATTTTAGCCTCCATGAAAATCTGAGCGATTCAATCACTTTTTGGCAAGTAAAATGCCATTTTAGTTGTCTACAATTAAATCATCAATAAAGAATTTAAAGACATTTTGAGGCGTTTCTTATAGGTAAACGGGAGGGTGTAGTCTATTTGGCAAGTGACAATCTTAATTGTATGTGCTGATGTGCTTTTATCTTGTTACTTTTAAATAGAGCAAAGTAATGTATAGATAGTAACCTACACAGTGTCATTAAAGCCAAAGCTTGATCAGTTTAAATACTATTTTTCCAAGTAAAAATGTGCCCCAAACTAGTTAACCGTGGCTCCATGTCAAGTGGACTAAAGAAAGGAAGGGGAAAAAATTAAATCGCTGGAGAATTGTTTATTTACATTTATACAACGTTTACATTCAATACATGGTGCCATTTTACATTGTTTATTTATTTTTTTAGTATCAAGGCTGTAACATAAAGAAAGCCAGTTCTTACCACAAACCATCTTTCAATCGCAAATATTGCAAAAAGGATTAATATATCCTCATTGTGAACGTTTAAGACAAATAGCAACACTTAAAACAACTTCCGAACTGGAAAAACTTATGTGGCAAGGTGAAGAAACAATGCCCGAGCGGGATTCGATCCCCAGACCTCTGGGGAGAGAGTCATACGCTCTAACCACTCAGCCAAAGGGACATCCCCTAGGCGAGTAGCCAGGGTGCAAGATCAATCGGGACATTGTGACAGGATGCTCACACTGTCACATCTTCCTCCCTCTTTCCACAAGCACGTCCTCGTGCTCCCGCGCAGGGTGCCACCAACACTGCCACACTAATATCTGCGATAAACATCTGTTTAAGTACCGGAAGAGGTTATCTTTGCTTTCTGAATGTCCATATTGCTAGATATGCCGAGTTTTAGGGCGAAATCCTGGGGAATTTTGTCTAGAAATGCAATTACCTAACCGTGCGCGATCCCGCGGTGGCTAATCATTTTTTGGCAGCGAGTCGATTAATGGCACAACACCGGCTCGGGTTTCTCCTCCTCCTCCCTCTTTTCTTCTCCAACCTGTCGCTGGGCTGAGGCTCCATCACTTCCTAAATTGATTTTACTTGAACCTTCACTACCAAACAACTGTGAGATTTTAACACATGTGCCAGCATCAGCCTGAAGGGCCAGTTTCTTTTTTAGTCGAATTTTCTCCGCTCCTCCTTTCCGTTTTTTGTTCTCCATTTTGTAAAGCTCGTCTGTCTGTTTACTGAGATTCACAAACAACTACTGGCGGGTGCATCAGACCTCTGGCTATTGGTCCAGCCCAGAGTGTATTGTTACCAATTGGCCAATCCACCAACTTTAACGAGGCGTCGCGTGGGGCGGCGCGGACAAGTTGTCAGCAACAACTAGAGGCCAGAAAAAAAAAAAAAAAAAAAAAAAAAAACAGACACCGGCCCATAAAAGATGAAAGGGTCGGCCCAGCGGGCAGTTGCCCGCTATGCCCTATGGTCAGTCCAGCAGTGCATGTAGCAACTATATGTTTCTGTTTTTTTAACAGTCTTGCTTCCCTAGCGATGTCAGCATTCTTTTTTGTTAGATGTTCATTTATGTAGACATTTGTTCCTTTCAATTTTTTTGCCTGCCTCAGTAAGTCATTTTTGTGTTTCCTGCTTGTGAATCTTATTATAATAGTCAATGTTTTATTTTTACCACATTTAAATGGAATAGCATGACAATTAGATATTTTGTCCTGTTGAATGTTACCTTTTTGATGGAAGAAGTCTGTGACTTGCTGCTCCAATGTTAGTAGTTCCTCTGGTGGTGCATTCTCTCCTCTAGCTCCATCTGAGTCCACCACCCGTGCATATGAACAATGCTTTGTCTCCAAGCCAGATATTACTACATCCTCTATTCTAGAGCATTGCTCAAGATCATCCACTCATTGTTCCAGCTTCTCTGTAAGCTTGTCTTTTCCCACTATGACGTTTTCGAGCTGTTTAATTTCATCCAACAGTCTGCTCAAGGATGACATTTCTCCAGATATTCGATTCACTGATGTTTTTATCTCCTCTACATCCTCCTCAAGCTTTTCCATTTTCCTTGGTGGCGCCATCTCATCCACTATAGTTTATGTATCAAGTCAACCACAATCCACCACCTCCCTGTTAAATCCTGCACATTTTGGGTCCAGGCACAGCACCTGGAGTTGGGCCAGGTAGTTCCTGGTGTTCATTCTGATAGATCCAGGCCTAGCAGATGAGGAAGGATGATAGCTTGGCCCTTTAAGGGCCACATATGCTCCCGTTTCCTCATCATGCATGGAGAGTGACGATGCATGATTTGAATTATGTGTGAGGCTGAACTTCCACTCTGAGAAGTCAAACCACACGATTCTCGCTCGCTAAGTATTGCTGAGGTGAGTCAATGTCTCTTGCTTTGTAAGTTTTGCTTGCCAGCTATTGAGCCGGATGAAGATAGAGGACGTGGGAGACATCTGACTCTTAGAAATACTGTAGCGAGTAGCATGGGTGTAATTGTTATCGATTGCCAATGATTGAGAAAAAGCCACAGCAAAATGCAAAGGAGAGTGTGTGTGTGTGTGTGTGTGTGTGTGTGTGTGTGGAATGCAGTGTGTCCTGTCAATTACACCAAATAATAAAACTACAGAAATCTTCTTTGTCTTTGGGAGCACAACACTATTCTGCCTCACACATGCACAGATTTTAGGAGTGAACGATTATTGCACAAGTAATAGGATTACAGTAATCCTCAAACTAGCCACTAATCTTTTAGTTATTGTGTAAGAAAACAGATCACCTTTGCTTTAAAAGCTTATTGTGTGTTCTTTAGCTTTCAAGCATCCCGTGAAGTCAATGCAAATCAGTCTGTTGCACTAGAGTGGAGATTAAGTTCACACATTTAGGAATAATTAAGAAGTGCTTCACATTTGGACAAATGGAACTGACTGTAAACACAGGATATCTGATGGAAATGTGAGTGAATTCAGTGGATTACAGCACAGATTAGGATGTTAATTAGACAATTATGAAAACGTCAGATATCCCATTTGAATCTGATCCGTCTAATTCTAGTATTAGTTGTAGTCATTTCTGGTATCAAATGACCTCTGCTGAACCAGAAGAGGGTGTGTTTGGATTTAAGACAAAAAAAAAGAAGCACATTTTGTTTTTAAACCTGAAACATCCATACACAACAACATAAACGTCAGCACTGAGGAGAAAAATAAGTCCCGACTGAGAGGAAAGTACAAAACTAAGAAAAGCAAAGGAATAAAAAAGAGAAGAACAAGCCGGAAAGAAAACATTTTGGACCGTACCTTAAGCTGTCCTTTCTGTGCACGGTCACATGCATCTCGTAAACCCGACCCGGAGGAACAGCACCCGCCGGCACCAACAAGCTCACACCTGCATCAGCAAGAAAAGGCAGAGGGAGATACAAAATGCTTCTCTACATGTATTAATTTGACCGTGCACAGCTGAATTATTGAACGTGTGACCAATTATCATTTCATCATTATGATGAATTTTAAAACAATCTTCCTAAAGGCATCCACCGCGCCACCTTCTCTTCATCAACTGAAACATGCAGCAATGTTTTATAGACTTTTGAAAACTGCTTCATATCAGCTGGTTGCATTATTCATTAGTTTTGCCTGCTCACAGCTTTGGGTTTCTCACAGAAAAATATGAGAAGCGCTCCTTCCTATTAACAGTGTGGACATTATTGATAGGATTTGACAAAGATTTGATCTTCTCTGAGTGCCCAACATTTGAATCAAATGGAAGTAACAATCTTCTGTGGGAAAAGTGAGCACAAAAAGATCTTGTGGACATTTTGCTTAATTATCTACAATTCCTTGAAGGACTGGGGGTTTTCAGGAGTATGCAGCATTTCAAACTCCCTTTTAACATTTTATCTGGATTCAAGGCTTTGGTTTGGATCTTGGATAGGGATGCTTTTCATTGTATTTGGAGCTTTTTTCTTGGTGGATTGGTTTTTCAGATGAGGATCAAATTAAATGGGAAATTGTCCACTTCTGGTTTTTAAACACAATCTAGGATTCAATCGATAGCATTAAGTTTCCTGCTCAATAAACCACAGGCTTCTGCAATGCTGGGAGGATGTCATTTGTCTCTGCTGATCTAGAGTCTACTAAACAAAGCTTCACCGAACCTGAGAAATTTCTGTTAGAGACTATTTTTATTTTATTTATCAGAGGCACGTTATTCTAGTGGGTTTGGTCTCCATTTACAAGCTAAATGTCGATTACGTAGCTCCTGTTTTAGAGGCACTTTATTGGCCTTCCAAACAGTCTTTTGACAAAGCTGACAGAATCGTTTAAACATCATTTGATGCATTTTGAAGAAAAGTTTTTGCATCAAAGTATTTCCTGTTGAGCTGAATTTGGTGTAAATTATCTGCATTTGGTAAGCATTTGTACCACTGGTGAACCATTTACAGGAACTAGAAGCGAGCCACATCACAGCTGAGCTTCAGGTTCCTGAGTGTTATTTTCTGATATTTGGACCTCTTGCTTCGGATTGGATAACAGCAACACAGCTCTATCACTGACTTGTGACGCTGATGTTTTATCTCCACAAGCCTGAGGACTAAGTGGTGGAGTTGCTAACGGTTAGCTTCTACTAGCCGAGACGTTCTCTGCTGTTTCCTGGACGCTAAACCAACAACATCCTTCTCCGTCGTGAGTCAAGATGGGTGAGTCCACGAATGTTCAGTGGCAGTGTGACGTAGATTTGTCAGGATTTTTAAAACGTACCAGAATTGGGGACAATGAGGTGTCCTCCCTGACTGTTGAAGGATCCGTGTGCAGTACAAGAAGGATCTCGGGTCCGAGCCAAGCTCTGGCTGCGAAGGTTCATGGTGTCGCTGTTATCCAGCAGAGATTGAGTAATCTAGGAATAAAAGGACACAGAGGAACAACAAAACATGAAATAAGTACCGACTTCAACTCAACGATGCTCTGCTCAGCAAACGTAAAATCAACTGCTGACCTTTTTATATCGACCCTATAAGAGTGGACAGAATGCATAAAAGTGGGCTGTAACCACACATCATGAGTGCTTGATAACCCTGATGACACACATGAATTTAAATGGATTAAGATTAATTTCAAGTCCTTTAAAGATGGATTTTAATGACTCCAAAAGTTCATGAATGCATAAAAACCTTTCAGATGTGCAGTTTCCCTCCCATGGTTGTATAGGCGCATGCTTTAAGGCTGTTTAATCTACATCTGTAATGTACAATCATTTTATAGTTTAACCCAAAATAGCATATTTAGGTGAAGTCTGACCTGCTCTGTTTCTAACTCTCTGTGGTGTTTAAGCCACGCAAAGCAGATGACAATTTAACGTGGATTGTGATGAGGATGACTGCACTTAGAAATCTTTTATTTAGTTTGACAAGGTCAGCTATGGCTACGGTCAGAGCTTCACAAGCAGGGCAATTAAAACACACCAATAGTAATAGATGGAATCACTCAAAGTCCCACTCATTTGTAGCGCTCAGAGATGAGAAGCTTAGCTCTTGTACCGCCTCGGGTCAGGTACTGCGATGAAACTGAGTGGTTTCATCTGTAATTGTGACAACTTGCTCTAGTATGCAGACCATGTGGTTGACAGAGCAGAGGGAGGAAACTGGGGCACTGAGCTGCATGTGCACTAATAGTGTTTGCTCTTGTCTTTGACTCCAGTTGCACGCTTTAGTCCGAAGTGTTTCTCTTACGCAGAGTACGTGAAATTTACAGTAAAACAAGAAGATATTAGGATAAAAAAAAAGAAAGCCGGACACTATCAGTTGATAAAATCGTAGCGTTACCTTAGGAGACAATTTTGAAGTGAAATCTCCGCCGAGGTCATCCTGCGGTGTGACCAGACCTGATGAGTTGTAGACTTTGATCTTCAAGTTGGGAAGAGGATCCAAGAGAGGAGAGTTGGTCATCGGGATTTTATCGGACACGTCGTGAAGCGCGTAAACTGGACCTCGATACATCGCGGCTGCGTTCGTCAAATCGGGGGGTGCTGTCAGCAGATCGGCTACAAGGATAAGAGTCAGACAGACGGAAAGGTACAGTCAAATATCGTGAGAAAAAAAACAAAGCAGATGGCAAAAACTGGGTGAGAAAGAGATTCAAGGTTAAAGCTAAACATTTTATATTCTCAGCATTGTAACTGCAATCCGTGGCTGTAATATGGGAAATCAGTGAACTGGAGTAAGGGGAGTGGGATGAAGCTGGGCGAGGTTGTTGATAAGGTATCTGAGGCAGGTATGATAGTGTAATACAAAGGAGCACGGCCTGGATGAAGGACTAGTCATGGCTGCTGCACACGGAAGGGCGAAGGGGGAGTGGGCGTCCAGAAAAACAGTGTGTGCAGACTTTTGCAAGTTATATCATTTTCTTATTTATGTTTAAAAAAACATGCAGTTCTGCATCATGTTCCAGTTCTAACACCACTCCCATTTAAATCTCAAAGGACGAGGACGCAGACGAACATAGCAAACGAACAGGATGAGCAGGAAACGTCTGGATTAGAAATTAGGATCACGACAGAAAATAAATGCTGTCATCAGAAAAAGGTCTACGGCAAGAGTTTCAGCCTGGCAGATCTCAGACTTTCTAGCCCCATTTTCACAGTAATCTGTTTTTCGTCTTGTGCTTTCTCTGCTATAACTTGGATTGGGTTGATGAAGTCTTCCTCATTCGGTCACAGGGTTCAGATCCTGTGCTGGCTGTATTAGTCAGAACTCTAACTGACTCATACTTTATTAAATATTGCTGATATATGTTGTGTTTGGGGCCATTATCCTACTGTAGGATGAAATCGACTCCAATCCAACGCTGTCCACAGGACATGACATGGTGATGGCACATCTTACCTTCTTTACAAACCTCCTACTTTCAAGACCATCAGGCTGTTATTATTTTTTTTATTCAACCTTTATTTAACCAGGATAGAGACCCATTGAGGTTAAGAACCTCTTTTACAAGGGTCTCCTGGCCAAGAGGCAGCACAAATACAAACAGTTACAACATAATGGCAATGATAAAACACCCAATCATTAAAAGCAGTTACAAGTTACTAATGCAGTTACTAATGCAGTTACTAATGCAGCCTCTGAAGCTTTCTGTTTGGTTTTGAAGGCATTTAGTGGAACCTGCGCAGTCATTTCCCAGGTTTTCTGCAGCTGGTTCCAAGCAGAAGGAGCAGAGCAGGCGAAGGCTCTCTTTCCCAACTGTGTGCGAGCAAAAGGAACAGAAAGTAGCAACTGATCGTTACACCTTAAAGAATGGGAATCAACATTTTTTCGTGTGATTAATATGCAAATGTAAGGAGGTAACAATCCAAACACTGCCTTGTAAATAAAAACATAGCAATGATTTTGTCTTCTAATTGCCAATGACGGCCATTTCACTCATGGATATAATTCACAGTGATGTGTTATAGCTCTACAGTTTGTGATGAATCTCAGAGACGCATGGTAAACCGAGTCCAGTTTTCGTAGCACAGTTAAAGAAGCATTCATATGTATAAGATCACCATAATCTAGAACAGATAAAAAGGTTGTCAATCAATCAATCAATCAATCAAAGGTTTATTTATAAAGCGCCTTCCGCAACCCTGTCAGGAAGCCCAAGGCGCTTAACATGGTACAGTAGAAGTACAAATATAGTGAATAAATCAAAAATAAAAGCAATTCAGAAATAAAAGCAATTCAAATTACAAAATACAAATTACAAAAAATGTGAAACATTCTAGTACAGGACAGATGGGTAAAACAAGGGATAGAGTGAACCAATGAAAACTGTGAAAGAAATTGAACGTAAAAGAGGGCCGAATCAAACATGTTCAGGAAACGTCAAGTGGAGGAGGTGTGTTTTTAGGCGACTCTTAAAGGCTGGCAGAGATGGGGACAACCTAACTGAGGGTGGCAACTGGTTCCAGAGAGACGGTGCTAGGACTGAGAAAGCCCGGTCCCCGCGAGTACGACACCTAGAACGAGGGACAGCGAGCAGGCCTTGGTCAGAGGAGCGCAGAGCGCGTGATGGGGAATGTTTGTTCAGGAGTGTGGCCAGATAGATTGTAGATTGTAGTGACAAGTAGATTTTTTTCTTCAAAAAAAAAAAAAAACGACTTATTACGGAACACAATAACAAAGATTTCTCTCGAAATGAATTACCTTTCAAACGCATTGACTTGGATCGTCAGCGAAATCAAGAGATTAAGGCAGAGCAACAGTTATTTGTCGTCAATTAAGTCTTTATGAATCATTTGCTCTATTGTAGTGGTGAAACAGATACTAAAATTTATAAATTGCGTGAAATTTTTCTTTTCTTCATTTAACAAAGCTTTGAAGGGATGCTACACGCTTGAGCTGGAATGAAGCTCGCATTGGTGGTGGAAACCCAACAAGATTTGATGAATTTAGAAAACTCATTGGGTATTAAACGATAACTTTTAAATTACCCAATAAAGTTGTGCTGTAAATACAACTATTCAGCTGTATTCATAAAAAGTGTTGAATGCGCAGATAGTCCTCTCAGTTAGCGGTATAGCATCTCACTTTAACTGGTACTGGCGTTATCCTGTTACGCAATGACATCAGTTAAGTATGTGTTCAACACTTGTGCAACACTGGATGTACATTAGTATGTTTGTGTTCCTTATGCTGTATAGTTGTGAAAACTCAAGTTTCCTTTTTATTCACTGTTTTTAGTGGTTGAATGTTGCAGTAATAGCTTACTGCATATGTGTGGTTACCTGTAATCTTGTTCTTTTCTCCTTCCTTTTTCTCTTAGTGTGTGCTGCTGTGGCAAGTGAATTCCCCTACAGTGGGAATAATAAATACTATTCTATTCTTCCATGCTATCGTTCTTTTTTTAGAAACAAGACACAGCAAGAACACACCTAAGATATTCTATTCTTGTTCTTGGTACACACTTTGTGCTTTCGGCAGTCACAAACAGACTACTTCATGTGTGAACTTCTTAAAGGTAGCACACTATACGGCTCATGATTTCAGTGAGTCATGCAGGATTTCTCGCTCTAGCAGGACACGCTTGAGCATTCTTGCCAAAAAGACACATGTTACTAAAAGCTGAGTGGTAACACTCCTCCATTTAGACTCAGAACTAACTTTGTGGTCCACATGTTCTTGCGTGTAGCCTCCATTGTTGCTAATGTTGCTACTAATAAATTAGCATTTTTCTTTCATCGCAGTTTTGTCACCTCACTCCCAGGGTGTATTTTCGTTGTTCGATTGCAGACCCGAGTCGTAGATTTTCTAACAGTGCTTTAGGGATGGATTTGGTCGTGAGAGTGCTCAACAAGCTGTCAGCGAGCTGGTCATACTGGACGACCACACACCTTCATCACAACAAGTCGGGCGCAACTGTTGACAATCCTGAAATTTGACACAGATGTGATTTCAGATGGAAAATCTCTTTTGGGATTGATTGTCCCAAAAATGAACATACTTCGCAAAGTTGTATTGTAATCAAAAGACATGTTGGACTTAATTTCCTTTTCTTGCTAATTACTAAACAGAAGAAATCACGTTGATAAGTTAAACCAAAAACTAATTTGTTTGCTCCATCGCCTCCCAGCTGAAACCCAGCAGCCACATCTAAAAAAATCCATTTGCTCTCTATGGCGGCAGGAGGCTTATCCATAATTAAAATCATCATAAATTCTGCTTTGATCGCAATAAGTCCAGTAACCTACTGAGAACAAATCCAGCTTTGTTCAAACCACGCTCTATTCTTTGGCCATGAAGCCTAAAATCCTGTTGTTCTCTCTATGAGACCAATCTTTCTTATTTTAAATAGCTCATTATAACCCTGTTTTACCACCACACACACACACACACACACACACACACACACACACACACACACACACACACACACACACACACACACACACACACACACACACACACACACACACACACACACACACACACACGTGTGTGCACGTGCATGTCACCTATCAGTCTCCTGCTCTTTCCATCACCAAGCTGTTTACCCTTAAAGCCAGCGGGTATTCCTGCCAATTCATCCCTGCTGAAATTTAATTAACAACTAGTGGAAAAACCAGCAAGTGAAGGAGACAGAGAGAGATATGTTCAAGGACACGATTCTTCATTAAACCCAACTGGAGGTGGTTCCTCCTAGCAGAATGACAAGCATCCTAATGCATTTCAGATAAAATGTCAACTCATCTCTCCACATTTAAAGACATTCTATCCTGAATACATGCCGTTCTATATAGGTGCAGCGTTAATCACCACCCTTCAGTTTTGTGTGTTTTTTTATACTGTGGCATTCATCTTAGTTCTTCTGCCCCATAAAAAATAATCCTTGAACTATTTATGAAGTCAACGGCTTTCCATAAATTTCATTAGGATACGTTCCTGCCTTAAAATCATCAAATCCAACAAATCAGTGAATACATCTTCATTTAATTATTGTAGGCGACTACTTTCTGGAATGTTTTTACTTTTTTTTTAAATAATCAAGGGTTCTAAAATAAGTAAAAGTTGTTTAGAACAGTGGTTCCCAAAGTTAGGGCCAGGACCCTGCTACTGGTCGCCAAGAACTTCTCAGGTGATCTTCAGATGATTTTAAAAAAATCTAAATAAAATTGAAAAACAATGACTCAAGCTATTTTGCATAAATGTTACAAAAATGCAACTAAAATGTCATATATGGGTACAAGTGAACATGAGCAGAAGCATTTTTGCTTTATACACTGAATTATCCAGCTTTTTCAGTATGTTTGTATTGTCACATCAGAGATTTTTGAGGTTGCATTCATCCATCCATTCATTAATTGTTGTCTGCTTATCTGAAGTCAGGTCGCGGGCACAGCAGCAGACTTCCCTCTCCCCAGCCACTTGGGCCAGCTCCTCCGACGGAATCCCAAGCTCTTCCCTGGCCAGTCGAGAAACATTGTCCCTCCACTGTGTCCTGGGTCTTCCTTTAGGTCTCCTCCCAGTCGTATATATATTTAAATGGGTGGGCCATTTATATGGA